TTTCTGGACGACAACCTCCAGAATTCCCCCCCCAGTAAGCATGCCCATGCCACCCACGGATGATGGATACTGTAGTCCGGACAAGTCAAAATGTTGTGTTGCTTCTCTCCTTTTCCCTCCCAAGCCCCCGGATCAAAAGATCTGACGAGCGGAGGAGAGAAGCTTCCTGTCCATTGTGCCAAAAATCATGATCGGGTTTATATTAAAATCCGTTTACTACCAGTGCTGAAATTTCAGCCATGCTAACGACCCTCTGCTCGCAGAATTTTTGACAACTATTTTTCCCGTAGGATCATTTATTGCCTGATAAGGAACTCTCTGTACCAGAGATTGAGAAAATTACTTTTGGGGGACTAAAGCTCCCTGGGGATTCTGGGAGTTGTAGTCCCCCCCAAAAAAGGCATCACATCCGGCGTTTGTTATCTACCCATTTTTTAAAAATTCCCTGTGGTAACTGTGGGCATCCTTTCGCAAAGACAAGAATGAGCAATGTGCAGCCCTTAAGATGTTGCACTACAGTTCCCAACATCCACAGCCAGGACAGCCGGTGGTGTGGGATGATGGGCTTTATAGTCCAAAAAACATCTGCAAGGCTACGGTTGCCTACGGAGACCAAATAGCTTCAGTGACATGGTTTCAGTGAGCAGTGGTTTCATGGAAAACACAGGTAGAATTTAAAGGGTGTTGCTTCTGTGGAAAACCAGATCATCGGGACTTAAAACATAGATGTTGGAGTTGAGGGCGGCCACAGACCGGACACATGTTCTTATTATATGTGCATTATTGTTCATTCTGTCTCTCCTTTCCGCTAAGGAATAGGGCTGGAGGTGACTCAGCAACATTGTTAAAGACAAGCTAAAACAAATTAAACATTAAAACAGCTATAATAATAATAAACGTAAGCCTTGCTGGAAAGAAGCAGTGATGGAAGGCAGAAGCAGAACAGGAAAATCAAAAATAACAGTGTGAATTGACTCAATAAAAGGAAGCCACAGAGCTTTGGCACTGCAAGACCTGAGCAAAGCTGCTCACGAGGGTTTGCTCCGGAGGTCGTTAATTCACAGCGCAGCATTAAGTCAGATGCTACTCAGTGACGCATAACAACAATAATTGATACAGTGGTGTCTTGCTAGACTATGATAATCCGTTCCACTGAAATCGCTGTTTAGCGAAATCATTGTCTAGAGAAAAGCATTTCCCCATTGGAATGCATTGAAACCTGTTTAATGCATTCCAATGGGGAAGAATTGTCATCTAGCGAAGATTGGCCATAGGAAAGCTGCTTTGCGAACCGCCAGTCAGCTGTCTAAATAGCTGTCTTGTGAAGCTTAGGTCCTGAAAACACCCATTTTGCGAGCACGGAGGGAGCTGTCAAAATCGTTGTCTAGCAAAAATCAGTTTGCAAAGCAGGGACCAAATATTGTCCAGCGAAATTCCCCCATAGGAATCACTGTTTTGTGAATCACTATAGTGATTGCAAAAAAGTCAATGTCTAGCAAAAAAACTGTCATGCGGGATAACTGTCTAGCGAGGCACCACCATAGATCCTCAGGATTTAGAAGCATTTTTGAACACTGCTTCATACCTTCCTAAAGCAAATTGGAGTGGAAAACAACTTTGAAGCGATTGCGTTTCACAGCATGGGGACAATGTACAAGAAAGGTCTCCAGCGGGCGCCCATAGGCACCAGTATGCATATTCCACTCTTGGAAATGTTAACACCTGAATAGGTTCATAATGAGATAGGCGTTTAGGGCTTTTTAGTATAAAGGAATATACTTGTATTTTCCAAACTCTAGTGCCGGAAAATGTGAAAACTTCTGGATGTCGCTGGATTACAGCTCCCATCACTCCCGGGGGGGGCATAGCCAATGATAGGGGATGATTATAGGAGCATGTCAACATTATCTGAAAGACTGCAGGTATCTGAGCCCGTGGACATGGGGTTCCTTGCTCTCTGAAACTCTTGCTCCATGGTGGGGACATAAAATCCAGAACCTATTCTTTCTCCCTCTGTCTCTTTGTTTCCTTCCAGGTATCCAAAGCAGCTGCAGACCTGATGGCTTACTGCGAAGCTCATGCCAAGGAAGACCCCTTGTTGACTCCCGTTCCGGCGTCAGAAAACCCATTTAGAGAGAAGAAGTTCTTCTGCGCCATTCTGTAAACCGCACAGGAGCCCGACTCCAATTTGGGCTGGCCTGGACACTGATGTAGAGATTTTTTCAGCAACGTGGACATGTTTCCGGAGTCCACCTCATTAAAAAAAATATATAAATCAGCCTGGAAGTTTACAGAGGAGTGCATGATCAAAAAAAAAAAAGAGAAAGAATTTCTGCCTTTTGGGGAGAATGAGGTGATGATGTTGACGTAACGTCAGGCGGCTAAAGATCTTGACATCTGCAGAGTTGCCTAAAGGGAGGGGGGAAATGTGCAAAAGAGTAAATTTAATTTCCACTTTTGCTCTTGCCAAGCAAAGCCCTTATATGTCGTTTTTCAAAAAATACAGTAAAGGTAAAATAAAATTTTTAAAAAGGGGGGATGCATAGCGAGGCTGCATATGATGATGGAAAGGGGTGTGTGTTCATAGCCTTATGGGGCTTCTTCCATTTTGTTTTGCCTTTTCCCTGAATGTCACTCTTATTTATGTTGAATTGTAAAATAACTGCAGCGAGAGGTTAGACTTGTTCTGATGTTTCTTCGTGTGGCGTCTTGTGCCTATTTAGCATTTTAGCGTAGTGCCATAGCAAGGGGGAGGGACGCGAGCCACGACCACGTGTGGATCTGGGGTTTAGCTGAGAGTCTGTGATAGCTTCGGCCACGGGCCGTCTCGTTCATCCCTTACAATATAACCAGTTGCCACTGTTTTCTAACATTTGTATTTGGTGGGGTTTTTTGTTCTGCAAGTAAAATGTGTGTTGTGAAGACCGGTGTTTTGACTCACTCTCTTTGTTCCCCGAATCCCGGGAGTCTAAGTTAAGGCGTGTCCGACTCTTCGTGACCCCATGGACCAGAGCACGGGAGGCCCTCCTGTCTTCCACTGCCTCTTGGAGTTGGGTCAAATTCATCTTGGTCGCTTCGGTGACCCTGTCCATCCATCTCGTCCTCTGTCGTCCCCTTCTCTTGCCCTCACCCTTTCCCAACATCAGGTCCTAACTAGGGCACAGCAAATGGGCTTTGCCCCCGGGCACCAAAACGGAGAGCTGAATTGATTGGGGTGTGTCAGGAAAATAAAGGGCAATTCCACCCCTTACCATTCGCTCCTCTTTTGTTGAAAAGGCCAACTTTCAATTTCTGCTTGACCGGCCTATTCCTAAATGGGGTTTACCTGGGAGAACACTCAATGCCATTTTTTTTAGCAAAACGTAACAGAAAAATCAAACCAAATAAAAATAAAGATTAAAGAAGTGACCCGGTCTAATTATCAGTTGATTGGTGCAAAGGCAGCTCTCAATGGATTCCGGAGTTTAGAATATAAATTCTAACTTCAACCACACTATTTAGTGTGTACTCACCCAGTGAAAGGTGCTTTTTAAAACACACACATACACACAAGCGCTGGTGGATGAGAACGGTATTTCATACAGTAATCAACAATTCTGAAAAACAGTTATTCCACCCCACCCTTCCACCCTCTCACCTTTGGAAAGAGGAGACCCAAGAGCACCGTGGTGTTATTTGTAGAATTACTGTATGGAGTTGGAAGGGGGACTCTAAGGCCATCAAGTCCAACCCTCTACTTAAGGCAAGAATCCAGATCAAAGCCGATCAGACACAGGGTTGCCCAGTTTGAGGGTCTATCCAGTATTCCGATTCTGTTATTGCAAGGGTTGACGTTGTTTGTTAAAGGATCTGAATTTATTATGATCTGGCTTGAGAGCAGTTATGAATTAAAAAGCAATCGCAGAACTGGAAATGTTACCGTTTTCCCACTCCTAAAACCCAGCAGTCAACCATGCAAATTTTAATCCCACGAAATGGCAAATCTCTGCAAAGCTAACTACAGTTGCAGAGCAGATGCAAATCCAACGGATTGTCTGTGTTCCTTGTATGGGTGGATTGCACCCTGCAGCTTGGGGGGAGGAAGCATCTGCCCCTCACTCACCCACATCTAGATAGGCAGAAAGCAGAACTGTTTCATGTGGTTCATGACCAGCTATGCTCCTGGGCTGGTGGGATATCAGGCACCCTGTTGTCACTAGGCAAGTGCTTCAGACACATAGGAGCACACACCTCCTAAGAACACCCACATCCACAATATCTTTGAACCTTGGGAAGAGTGTCTCTTGGTAGACTGGTCTCCCATAGCACGGCGCTATTTCTCGGGGGAAATTTCACGAACACACAAAGGGCAAGCAAAATAACCAAATAAGTGAACAAAATACAATTCTGGGAATCGGGCTCTGACGACGATTAGGAGAAACCAACTCAGATTCCAAAATCCGGCCACAGCTGAGAATCCAGAACAGGCCACTGAAGCTAGAGCGGACGTTTCAGAAAACCATTGGAGTGAAAGCTCGGCAAATTTCTAGGAAAAGGCCTTTAGCAGATAAATCGTGGCTTTTAAAGATACCTTGTGTTGAATCTCACGAGGCGTTTCCTGGAGGGAAACTTGAACAGATGCAAACATCTGTCATTGCTGTAAGATGCAGACACTGGCCAGGACTGGCCAATGGGGCCCCAGCCCTGAGAGCTCACAGGCCCCTCCACCAAAGACCTCAAGTTTTATAGCTCAGTGTGGTTTCTGAGATAAGAGTTTCAGCTCAGCAAGCATTCTTCCTTAGCAAGTGATTCGAGGGCCATTCAGTGAAAGAGACCAACATCCGTGAGGGTGCAGGATTCCAAAGACCATGGTAATTTTGAGAGTGGGAGGACACAGAAGATGGCAAGAGTAATCGTCATGGGGAGTTTCAGAGATTTCCCAGAGACGTACCAATGTCTCTGCAAAGTTCAAAGCCCTGTGCAGAGCGAACAGAAAGTGACCAGCACTGGCCAGCCCAGCAGGGGAGTTTTGTTTGTGTAGTTGTTAAGTCGTGTTGACTCTTCGTGACCCCATGGACCAGAGCACGCCAGGCCCTCCTGTCTTCCACTGCCTGCCAGAGTTGGGTCAAATTCAAGTCAGTCACTTCGGTGACCCTGTCCAACCATCTTGTCCTCGGTCGTCCCCTTCTCCTCTTGCCTTCACTCTTTCCCAACATCAGGGTCTTTTCCAGGGAGTCTTCTCTTCTCATGAGATGGCCAAAGGATTGGAGCCTCAGCTTCAGGATCTGTCCTTCCAGTGAGCACTCAGGGTTGATTTCCTTCAAAATGGATAGGTTTGTTCTCCTTGCAGTCCAGGGGACTCTCAAGAGCCTCCTCCAGCACCACAATTCAAAAGCATCAATTCTTTAGTGGTCAGCCTTCTTTATGGTCCAGCTCTCCCTTCCGTACAGTGCTGCTGGAAAAACAATAGCTTTGACTACGCGGACCTTTGTCGGCTAGGTGTTTGTCCTCCGTCAAAAGCTGACTCAGTAACCTAGTCTTCCTGGGTTGCATCTATCATTATTTGGGCCAGGTCCTCCTCGTGCCAAAATGTCCTCATTCATGGACTTCAGACACCCTGGGAGGAAACTTACTCTCGGCAATGAGTTACATTTGCTGATGCTTGCCCTGTGGGTATCGCTAGCTGCCCTACTGACTACACAAGAGCAGGAGTGGCTCCATTTGGGTATGCCTGGGGCGCCCTGTTGCTGCCAGTCCTCCATGCTCCATCACATGGGGCAATTCATAAGCCATTCCCTGCATTTCACTTAGAGGAAGAAAAAAAACTGGGGAGAAATGCTGCCCAAGCTCTGTGGGCAATGCTATCCACCAACATAGTGGACCCCAACCTTGGGTCACTCAGGTGTTCTTGGACTGCAATTCCAAGCACAGCTGGTGGTGAAGGTTTCTGGGAATTGCAGTCCAGGAACATCTGGGTGACCCAAGGTTGGGAACCACTGTGCTAAGAGAACAGAAAACATACAACCTCATGGGAGTTTCCCCTGATTTTGCACACAAGTAGAAAGGCTTCCTAGGTTTCCATCAAGCAGTCCACTTTTATCATGTCCGATTGGTTGAAAGCGGAGTAACTTGGGAGCCTCAACTCAACCCAATCCTCGTCCACCATCACCCAGTCTCCAATCTATTTTGGAGACCAAAAGGTGGACTCATTGAGATGCATAATCCCTCCTGGGACTCAAAAATATCTTGAGTTTGCTATCTTTTGTTCATGAGTCAGCCCATTAAGCCACCACAACCTCATCATCATCATAAAAATGCTACTAATTAAAAAAACACATGTGCCATCAAGTCTATTCTGACTTATGGTGATCCTTCCCAGGGATTTCTAGGTAGAGAACACTCAGAAGGGGTTCGCTTGATGTCAATGGGCCGTCTGTGTCTCTCCCTTCCTTCCAAAGCAAGATTTCTAAGAAAGAGAGCTGTCATGGGCTTCGTAACGAAATTGACCCCTTGCTTGACAGCCTTATTAGCCATCTGGTCTCATCGTTTGTGGGATGCTCCATCTCTCTCCAATAAAATCACCTGCAGAGATGTGCAAACCGCATCCTTCCCCCAAAAGCCCTCTGCTGGACAATCCAGGCAGATGTGCTGCTGATCAACTCAGAACCCAAAAGGAGCACCAGGAAGGCACCCGCCCACATCTGCACAGAGGTGGTGTGGATGTCTCCTGTCATTTTAACGATGTAAGATGCCTTGGATCCTCTTTTTAGGAGAAAGGCAGGGTAAAAAAATAACACAAGGGTTTTGGCCTCTGGAGGTTGGGGAGTTCGATTCCCCCACCACACAAGGGTTTTGGTCTCTGGCTGCAGAGCTGGAGGTTGGGGAGTTCGATTCCCCCACCGGCCCTCCTTGACAGGGGTTGGTCTCTGCCATTCTATTATTGTTGTTGTTAATTATCATCATCACCACCACCACTAAATAAACAGTGCCAACTAAACAAGGAAATGTATCTACTTGCCGTTCTATTATTGTCGTTGTTAATTATCATCATCACCACCACTAAATAAACGGTGCCAACTAAACAAGGAAATGTATCTACTGAAGGTCAGAAGGGTGGGAAGGCGACCTTCTTTTCCATCCTTCCAGCAATCACTTTCTACAGTGCTGGAGCACCGAGCAGATTCCAAAATTTTCCCTTTTCTGGCTGGACCTCTCCGTGAGGCCCTTAAAGGGCCAGGGGACAGAGTGGAAAACATTCCACAGATGAAAAAGGCATTTAAGCTGATAAAACAGGAGCTGCTCTCTGCTCCATCCCTCCAGCAGCCTGACCCTGAAAGGCCTTTTGAATTACTTGTAGCCGAGCGAGATGGCATGGCATTGGGATCCTGACGCAGATTATCGGCAGCCGGTGGCCGGCTGGTGGCCTATCATTCTAAGCGACTGAACACACAGTGACCAAAGGCTGGCCCTCATGTTTACGAGCCATGGCAGCCGCCGTCCTTCTTACAAAGGAGGTGCGCAGGTTTTCTTTGACAGCCTTGGTAATGGTCCATGTGGCCCATGCTGTAGCGACGGTGCTGGAACAAAAGGGGTGCCTCTGGCTCTCCAATGCTCACCTTCGTAAATATCAGGCGCAGCTTCTTGACAGCCCGGAACTCCGGCTAGTCACTAACACTTGTTTCAATCCTGCCACCCTGCTCCCCAGGCCCAGCACTAATTCAGACCCTATATGACATGATTGTTTCCAGACAATTGATACCGAATACTCTAGCAGATCTGATTTGAAAGACTGGCCTCTGAGCCACCCGGACTTGGAATTCTTTGTCGATGGCCGCGGTCTTGTCCTGCAGCCCTGGCCATTGACACGTGAGCCCTGCCCCTGCGGACATCTGCCCAGAAGGCTGAATTGGCCGGTCACAGACTCTCCTCTTGTGTATTTTCTTCCACTTTCAGAGCTGAGCTTTTGCCAACCTTCCCCGATCGCCTGCTTGGCAATTCTTGCAGAGAAGGAGTCAAGCCTCAGGCATCTTCTTCCACTGCAGATTTCAGAGGCCTTGAAAACAGAGGCGGCCGCATGGGCGGAGGGTGGCTGGGTAGGTGGCCAGTTTAATGTGGATTAAATCTGTGTTACTGGAAGGACTGCTTTCGATTCCTCCCCTGGATCAGAGGATTAGAACATTTAACCACACTTTAACCATTGGGCCTTTTGTACAAATAAGAGCCTTTTGTGGAGTGGGTATCAACGACTCCCCCTTGACAGCTAGCATGACAGCTTTTCCCCATTGATTTCTATTGACCAGCTCTAACTTCCGCCCGGCGAGACGCGAGTCCAACCGGAAACTGCCTCTGTGACCCTCTCTACCCACTATATCCTCTATGGTGCCTCCGCCAGCCTCCTTTCCGCACTTTCCGTCTCTATACGCTCCTGATCCTGTCACTCAATCTCCTTAAAGCGCTCTCGCTCTCTCGCTCTCTCCCAATCACGCCCTTCTTCTCCCCCTCCTACGTAGGCCACGTCCCCGCCCCCTTGTGCTTCCTCAAGCGCCGATTGGATGGCGCGCCTGACTCTCCTCCCCAACGCCCCACCTCCCGGCCGTTCAGGCGCAGGCGCGCTCTGCCTCTCGCCGTCGTCTTCGGCCGCTCGGAGGGGGTTGAGGCGCTGCTCGGTTCGGCGACGGCCGCGCCGAGTCTCGCCAGAAGGGCGCCGCCGCCATGTTCCGACGAAAGCTGACGGCCCTCGACTACCACAACCCGACCGGGTTCAACTGCCGAGGTAAGACGAAGCGGGCCGACCAGGCCGCAGCCCGGACTCTTGTCTCGCCTCATTCGTGGCCGGTGTTGGGCCGGGCATGCGCACGCGCGCTGCCCCATTTAGCTCCGCCCCCTGCCGTGGAGGCCACGCCCCTTCGCTGCCCAGATCCCTCCTGGGTCACTCCTGCCTCCCTACCTGGGTGTGTGTGGGTGTGTTTGGGTTCACACGTTACTTTGCCTCGCGTGTTCTGTGCACGGAACAATGGATTAAAACCAGTGGTCTTTTTTTTAAAGAAACCGACTTAAATCAGGATTTAAATACAAAAAATCGATTAAAAAATTTAAATAGTAAAAAAAAATCCAATTTTTAATTATAAATTGTGATTTAAATCAATCAATCACACCCACCCTTGTGCACCGAAACTTTTTTTTTTCTTAAGCAGTTTCAGGTTTTGCACATATAAATAAATATAGGGGGGGACGAGCTTGAAAAAGGCATCAGTTCTCTCTGGGTATTGATCTGGTTTGTTCCCGCTTTTGGAAAAGAATGTAGGGCGAAAATGGAAAGGGCCAGGGCGGTCCCAAAGATTACACAAAGGCAAGAAGAGAAGGTGATATCTGTAATTGGACAACTAATTTTTTAAAAAATAGCAAGCATTTGAGGGTGAAATCACCTTCCTGAGGCTCTAAGCGCACCCCTCTGTGGATGGTGAACATAGAAGGAAGGAGATTTGGCCTAAACATGAGAGAAAACTTCCTGACAGTAGGAGTCGTTTGACAATAGAATGGGTTGCCTTGCAAACAGGCCAATGCTCCTTCCTTAGAATTTTTTTAAACAGTGGACAAAATCCCTGTGCTTAGCACAGTAAATCACAGTCGAGTAGGCCTATTGCATCGATGCAGATTTTGGAAGTCAGCTCTTTCATAACTTCCACTGATTCAAATGGGCGTACTCTTAACTGCAAGTTGCTCTGCTAAAGTAAGTCCTAATTAGACTACGTCCATTTGAATCCAGACTTTCTGGAGGAGTCAACTCCATTGATCCAGTGGGCCTACTTTGCTGTGATTTACTGCTCTAAGCAACAGGAGACGTTGGCCATGGGTTGCGTGACCGTCTGTCAGGGGTGCGTGAACTCCGAAATTCCTGATTGATCAGGGATTGGACTCTGCAGTCTTTGAGTTTCCTTCCAGCGCTACAGTTCAGTGGGTGGCAGGAGTCCCCAGATGGCGGTGGTAGGCAGCTTCTGTAAATGAGCAGCCCATGAGAGGTTTAACATGGCCACCGTAATCCAGTCCTTGGTGTAGACATGCTTGAGAGAAAGTAAAAGCTAGTAACCATGCGTATTTCAGGGAGCGACTTGGAAGGGTTGTCAGGAAAAGACAGCTGTGCAGGCATGATGATTTATTTGCTTACTCAGTGAGATGTGGGAAGGTGCCATTCTTGAACCTGGCTGCCGTTGATTTTGAGAGCGATTGTGCTAGACATCGTACAAAGAGGGCCACTGGGTTAGACTGCAGTCATATACATCCTTTTAAGTTACTCCAAAAAAGTTGCCTCTCATATTGTGCAAGTTGAACCTGCTGTGCTTGGCATAAAGCTAGAACACAAATATGAAAGTAATAAACAATGCTATAATGTATAACAGAACGTAATGATAGAGCTGTTTCTTACATGTTTGGGTGGTTTGCTGTGTACTTTTGCACTTTAACTATATAATCCTTTGTGGCTTAAACCTTATTTGGACAGTTTTTCTCAATTTTAGTTGTACTGATCTGTTCTCACAGATGAAACTGAATTCCGCAATTTCATAGTTTGGCTCGAAGACCAGAAGATCCGGCACTACAAAATTGAGGACCGGGGGAATTTAAGAAACATACACAATGCTACAGAGTGGACAAAGTCATTTGAAAAGGTAGCGCTTCTTGAAACCTCAGCTGTTTATAGGGTATTCTTGAAGGCTTTCACGGCCAAAATCCGATGGTTGTTGTGGGTTTTCTGGGCTGTTTGGCTGTGTTCTTAAAGTTTTTCTTCCTCATGTTTTGCCAGTCTCTGTGACCGGCATCTTCAGAGGACAGGAGTCAGAACTCTGTCTGTGCTCTGTTTTTAGGGTGTTTGGCTTCTGCTTCACAATCCCTATATGTTAAACACCGCAGTCTTAAAAGGGTTGTTGTTGAAATTCCAGAAGAAAGGCAGCTTAAAATAATTAGTGCCCAGAATATGTTCTGTATAAGTGCAGGGCAAAGGAACTGGGTATGTTACTATGGGAAAAGTCAACCTCAGGGAGGGGAGACTGTGGTAAATATTTATAAAATTAGGGATATTATTGAAGGAGTTGATTAGGGATAACTTGTTCTCGCAGATCCAGGGTAGTGGCAGCTGGTACTGCTTCAAAACACAAATAAAAGTATGGCATTCTGTTCAAAAGATGTCATTGTGTCCATTATTTTGGATAATTTTAAATTAGATTAGATTGATTTATGGCAAATAGCTCTGTCTGTCCTTCTGCGAACCACAGTCGCTCTCGGTAAAACTTTTCTTTTCAGAAAGAATGTGCCTTTGATGTCCTTCCCTCAAAGTGTGTCTGAAATGATAGCAGACTTATTTCTCCTAGTCAGAGATGTTTTGGTTGTTCATTTCCTGCTTCAGCAGGATGTTGGATCACATGACCTTTAAGCCTTGACCCGACTCCGGGAGGCAGTGGAAGACAGGAGGGCCTGGCGTGCTCTGGTCCATGGGGTCACCTAGAGCCGGACACGACTTAACGACTAAACAACAAAGTCTTTCCACCTCTATAGATTCTGATCTACAAGACTAGAGGAAATGTCTCTCAAAGCTCCATGCTTGATGCCTCTTTTCCTCACAGAAGTAGTCAAAGAGATGACATGACCTCGCCAGAATTCTGATTTCTTCTGCGTTCTCTCTTAGGAAGTATACACTATTTTTGGCACCTTAGGAAATATGCCATATATAATGATTTATTTCTCTCCAAAATCTGGTCCTGTTTCCCCACATCTGTCAGTCACCCAGTTTAAAAGTTTACTCATTCCCAGGTACACAGGCAGCACATCATCCTTGCCATGTTGTTATGTATTTATTTATTTTATTAGATTTATACCCCACCCATCTAGACTAAAGGTCTACCCTGGGCAGCAGACAAGACAACAACAACCCTTTTATGTACCCTTTCTTGTCATAAATAAGCCTGTCTCCTTCCTTCGGCCACAGCCCATCCCAGCAGAATCTTGTTTCCATCCCTCAGGTTTCCAAGACTAACGAACTATTGAATGATTTTTTGAGGTTGAAAAAAATCAATCCCAGGTTTTTCTTCCATCCTCCCTATAGCAGCCCCATCTTGGGGGGGGGGAGGTCTTTCCCCCATATTCCCTCTTTTCTTTTTTTAAACAAGGGGGAAGGAACGGTTGTGAAGAATTCAGTTTCTGGGGTAGGAGAGAACAGCTAGTATGGCCCTCTTTGATCCAAAGGAGAAATGGTGGAGGGCTGAGCAACGTTCTAGAAGAGGGCTTCACAGAGGATGTCCAACTGGGAAGGAAGATTGGCATCCTAGAAGGGAAGACAGGCTAGGAAGATGGAGGACGTCGAGGGACCCTGCTGTGCCTGCTCCCACTTGATCTCTCAGGGATATCTGGCTGAAATGGGCTTGAAATAGAGATGGGCATGCACTGCTGGTTCGTTTCTCATCGAAACAGGTGTTCGGTGGCTCCCATCCGTGAAAACCCCACCTTGCGTGTGTAAAATTCTGGCCGCAACCAGAACCAAATGGGTGGCAACACTGGCTGTACTTTGCGCAGCACTGCGGCCGCGTTTGCACGGCTGTGCACCTGCGCCGCTTAGAGGGAACGTTGGTGGTCTCTGCCCTGCTTATGAGTTTCTCGGCACCCTCACCTTCTCTTGGGGATGAGAGTCTTGCTTCGACTCTCCCAGATCCATGTTAAATCAATGTGATAAAGAAATACGTTGCTTTCCATTCACACTAGTTCTGTCCTTCTGGAACTCTGATGAATTAAAAAGGAATTTGCCTGTCTTTCCGTTGAATTCGCCACGCACAAACAGTTTGACAATATGATCTAGTTCCTTCCTCCTTCTCATTGCTGTCGTGTGAAGTGAGTCAGCCTTCTCGTCCCTGTTCCCTCACGGCTGCCTGGGAGAAGAAACATATTGTTTTATAAGCACCAGGGAGAAATTTCAAGCTCTGCATTTCCCGAAATGCATTCTTTTTTGAAGTCAGGAGGGAGCCAGTGATAATCCTTGAGTGATGTGAGCACCAAAGAGCTCTTTGATGATGGATCGTGCTCCCACTTGCTTGTCAAGCCTTGGAAATAGCCTCGTGGGTTACTGATCAGCAACGTCTCCTGCTACAAGATTTAAAAAAAAATGAAGGGGAGTGTTGGCAAGCCCAAAGCTGTGCTTTTGCACCCCTCTGTTTGGTTATAAAAATGGATGTGGTGGTGCTCGGGGTTAAACCGCAGAAGCTTCTGTCCTGCAGTGTTGGAAGACCAGCCGTCGTAAGATCAAATCCACGCGACAGAGTGAGCTCCCGTCGCTTGTCCCAGCTCCCAACCTAGCTGTTCAAAAGCATGTAAAAATTTGAGTAGATAAATAGGGACCACCTTGGTAGGAAGGTAACGGCGTTCCGTGTCTAGTCGCGCTGGCCACGTGACCACGGAAACTGTCTTTGGACAAACGCTGGATCTACGGCTTGGAAATGGGGATGAGCACCGCGCCTTAGAGTCCGACACGACTGGACTCAATGTCAAGGGGAACCTTTACCTTTACCTATTTGGTTTACCGGAGAGGAAAAATCCCCCCAAGCATCCTTTGTTTTATTTATATCCTCCTCTCCTCTTCATGATTCCTTTGGGGGGGGGTAGTGATAGTTTTATTCTGTGTTTTACTTGTGTTTCTAATATTGCTCTTATGGGCTTTAATGCATCTTTAATTTTTAAATATTGTAATAATTTATTATTTAACTCTTATGGGCTTTAATGCATCTTTAATTCTTTTTAAATAGTGTAATAATTTATTATTTAGCTTTTAACTTTGTTTCTTTTAATACTGTAAGCTGCCTTGGGTTCTTCAGGAGAAAGCTGGCCTATAAATATTTTAAAGAAATAAATGATTGAACTTAAGGAGACACATGGAGTTGCTGCCCCATATATATATATTTTAGCTGCAGCAGTGTTATCACAGCTTCTGCATTCAGGCACATTTTCGTACTAGATCTATACATTGAAAGGGTACAGAATGACAAATATTATGTGTAATTGGCATGAAAGCCAAGAGACGTAGATCAGAACACGGATGGCAGCAGTCAGCTTTTATTTCTGAGTTAGAATTGTAAGTTAGAAGCTTAGAACTGCAAAGCTGGAAGGGACCCTATGGATCATCAAGTCCAGCCCCTGTCAGGGAGTCATAGCAAGGAATCGAACTCCCAGTCTCCAGCTTGGCAGCCAGATGCCTAAGCTGTACAGCAGTTCTCTTCCCATCCACCACCCCAGAAGCTACTGGAAGACAAATATCAGTAGATTGTAAAGATGCTGTCCCAGATAAGACCTGCAGCTATTCCTGGTTTTGTCTCCATAGTTCATTTCTAATGTTCTCGTTTACAGTACCTTAAAGATGTGAATTGTCCTTTCACCGTACAAGAACGGCAAGAGACCATTGACTGGCTTCTGGGATTGGCCGTTCGGCTTGAATATGGGGACAATGGTAAGTTTGGCTCCCTCCTTCCATCTTAAAAGGTGCTCAGTTATTCTGCTAGCAGTGGAGTCTGCGGTTAATTGTTGCCTCCGGGTTGCAAAGTGCTTCAATACCTCTTTATGCTGTTCCATGGGTCTTCGAGCTGAGACGTTCAGCTTGTTTAAAGCAGGCTGGCACGATTGTACTGGGCATATGGCGTATGTGTGTCTCTGGTGTGTATTACTCTCACTGGCTTAGGCTACCCTTAACGTGACCAACTTGAAGCATAGACGATTTGGGCCTCCCTGCCTTAAAGGGACAAAACTGGGAAATACATGGCAACTTTAAAGACTTAGGCTGCGGTTCTATATGCATTTATTTGGACATAAGCTTCACTAGGGCGTGATGCCACTTACTATAGTATAACCTTCCTTCTTTGGTCAGTTGCACAGAGGCTGCAGGATGATGTCAGGGAGTGATGTTTCTGCAAGGCAGGTTTACATCAGCAGCGAGCCACTGCCAGAAGCAGGAGAAGCCACACCTTCGTGTTTCCTTGGAGAGTAGCAGGAAATCTGTCAGATTGCTGAGCTCTTGCACCCGGCCAGTCACAAGAAATCTTCCACCCCTTTCACTCTTGGTTATTGTACTGGACATGGGCTGACAGGGCTACCTTTCTGGTAGCCATGAATTTACTTAAAGTAAAGAATTTACTTAAAGTAAAAGTAAAAATAGTAGTAGTAGTAAAAAAAAGTAGAGTTTTTTTAAAAAGTAGAAATAATAATGAACTTTGCAGCTTATATACCACCCCATAATGCTCAAAGCATTCTCTGTGCAGTTAACAATTTAATTCAATTATATGGTTACACATTCCACCACCACCACCCCAGTGGGCTGAGTACTTAATTTACCATCCTTAGGTTATATGGGTACACATTCCCCCCCCCCCAGTGGGCTGAGTACTTAATTTACCATCCTTAGAAGGATGGAAGGCTGAGTCATCTTTCAGCTGGCTACCTGAGTCCACTGGGATTGAACGCAGGCCCTGAGCAGAGTTTTGATCGCATACTGCAGCAGAACTGCCATAATTTCTGTTGCCCTGTACTGCAGTTGAACAACTGCATCATGGGACTCCAGCAGAACTGCCATAATTTCTGTTGCCCTCGTGTGGCATTGTTATATCTCTTTAAGTGTTTTTTTTAGTTTTGTTTTTAGTGATGTTTTTATTGGTGATTATTATGTAGTATAAATAAGAAAGAAATAATAAAAATGATTCTTAAAATGAAAGCAGGTGGCCATAAGATTTTTTTTTCTAGTTTATATTTTTCACTGTATAATTTTGATCCCATTGAATTAGATGCATTTTATCATGATCATTGTAGGCAGAAGTAAAGAAACTTCCATTTAGAGACCCAAAAGATTGCTTCAAGGATTCACTGAGGAATTGCTGCCCGTTAGCTTTATTCTAGCATTCATTCAGCAGTTTGGGATGTGATCGAATTAAACAAACAGGTCCGGGAACTTGTTTCTCAGATGGCGGCAGAGTGACGTTCTGCCAGCACCGCGGTCTTCTTGTGTCCTCCTCTGGCCTTCGGGGGTTTTTTTGTGTTTGAGCAGCCCTTTATTGGTCTCCAGCACCATTAAGAAAACTTTTCCTTTCACCCAACCCGCTGCTACATCATCACCATCATTATTATCATTATCATTCGTATCAGTGATGGACGAGCATACAAAATGAAGCCTGTGGACAGTTCCGACAGCTGCTTTAGTTCTGTGCACAAGCTGTTCTCATAGAGTAGAATAATGGTTTTATGCTAATTCCCTGGGACTTTCTTCCATTTTTAGCACATTCTTCATTGTCTGACCTGTTGTCATTCATGTCCAAAACGGCTTTTGTTTCAACAGCTGACAAGTATAAGGACTCCACGCCCGAGGGAGCTAAAAATGCAGACAATGCCGCCAAGAGCGCAGAACCCCTGATAAATCTGGATGGTGAGTGAAGAGGCAACTCCCCCCCCGCTTGCTGTACATCATTAGAGAGAACCTTTGGCTCTAAAGCAAGCACACTGGGAATTGCAAGCTGCTGTAACTGAATCTAACTTACCCGTGTGTGTGTGTGTGTTCTTTCCTGTAGTGAACAACCCTGACTTTAAGGCCGGAGTAATGGCGTTGGCAAACCTCCTTCAAATCCAGCGTCATGACGACTATTTGGTGATGCTCAAGGTCAGTGTCTTACGGATGAGATTTTGTTCCTTGACAAACGTAGACTCGAATCCTTGTGAAAGCTTTTCAGGAGAACACATGTACGTAGTCACTGACTCCTCTCTGCACACATCCGAGTGTTGCTACGTATGCCAGCGAACATCTGCGTCAGCCTTGTAAGATTTGGACCAGGAGAGGGTGGAGAGAGGAAGACAGGCATTGCATTGCCCAGTCGCTGCCTTCAGATGTAATGCCCTCCCCGCCCCCCCCCCGGACTTTGCTGATTCTTGTCTATATGTAGAATTTTTTCCTTTTTTAAAGTTTTCTTTTTCATAAGTAGGTCTTTTCCCCTGTGTTATAAGGACACCTTTCTGTAACAGAATCTTTGATAACTGTCCCACACTCTAAACCAGTAGTTCCCATCCTTTTTGCCTCTACCGACCGGTTTAGTGGGGTGGGCGTCCATGTGTGCATGCATGGGAGTGGCCGTACGTGCGTCTGCGCAAGAGGGGTCCTGGCAAGGCCGTGGACTGGGATGGGCTGGGGACCCCTGCTCTAAACTGTAAATTTTTCAGAAAAAGGACTTCTTTCCTCTATTTTTTCTGTGTGATTTGCTGCGTATTCTATTCCTGTGCACCCCACTGTTCTTAGAAGTGTTTACAGAACCTTCTCGGTTGGAGGAATCGTCTCGGCCTCCCCTGAACTGCTCTCTTCTCTCCTTTCCAGGCTATTCGCATCTTGGTTCAAGAGCGCTTGAGTCAGGAAGCCGTTGCAAAGGCAAATCAATCCAAAGAGGTAATGTCCCGGTTGGTTTCATTTTATTATTGCAAAGAGTTCCTTTCTCTCTATGGCTTTATATAAAACACGGCGCAGCTTTTTAAATTGGCCATTTGTGGCCTGAAGTTCCGTTTGCATGAGCGACCCTGGAAGAAGCCAAAGACTACAAACCCCTTTGGCAGTCACGCTTGGAAAAAGCTGCCGAGGAAAAAGGTCATCTTTCAGAAACAGACACAATATGGGACAGTTCCTTAAATAAAAAGCCCCCCCTTTTTTTCTTGATGACCCTAATAAGGGTCCCTTTTACTACCCGTGTGCCAGCTGGAGTAATGAATCAAAACTGGCAAAAGGCATCAAGAGGGAATCTGTTTTGAGGCACTCGGAAATTTGCTCAGGCATGCTGAAAGCGCATACCCTCTCCAGAGCAATCCAGCTAAATATATAATTCTGTAACTGAATGCAAGAATTTGCCTGAAGTAATAGCTTTGTGAAAATGATAGACTAGGGCGCAACACTCTTTATTCAGCGGAGAACAGGATGTCTCCTGAACATGTGGCAAATAGCCGAAAGCTGAGCACATTTAGGACAAATCATGGCCAGTTTCCTTAGAGACTGAGTCTCAAGATAGATAAAAAGTGGTACCAATACAAATTTTATTCTGGTCTAAAAAGCTCTGGAGATAAGCAAAACATTAAATAAAAATATTAATTTAGAAACAGCTGGTTTGGGACAGTTACAGCTCTCTTTTGTCTGTATAGTTAGCAAAAGTTAACTATCAAAAGTTCTAAAAGCTTGGTGTGTATCCTGTATGCTGTCATTAAGCTGTATTGGAGGTTATGTATCTTGTTATGTGCATGTTTATTAATATTTTATATTGTTAACTATATAGACAAGAACAAAGAGCCATTAACTGTCCAAGCCAGCTATTTCTAAATTAACACATTTTAATTTAATTTTTGCTTAGCTTTCTGAAGAAGGCCACCACCGAAACGTGTCGAGCCTGAGCTTTGATAAGAATAAACTCTTGAGACTTGGTTTCCTTAGCTCCTATTCCCGAGAAGAGCCCCTGGCACAGTAAATATAGGTCATATTTGTGTCATAGCAGCCTAGCAGAGCAGTGCTAACCAGGCATCCTTAGAGAATATGGGAGTTACTCTTATGCACAGCTTTGCATTTTGACACGACCCTTCTAATGGTGCAGGTTTAACCTGTAGGTGTCAACAATGCCATTCACCTGTTCTACTGTGTCCCTCACCCCTGGGTTGAGAGGTTGGAAGCTGTTAAGACGCACTGTCACCCGTGCAGCCATTTAGGCTTGAGCAGAAGCACTGCGATTTCTTTCTGTATCCAAATCTCCTTAGAAGAGAGACAGGAGGCGCCAACCCCATTCTCCATGCTGACCAGAGAGGGCTCATTCGCCTCTTGATTTTCTGAAAGCGAGAAGAGATCAGAAGCGATAGGGTGGAGAGCTTTTTCTGTTGTTGGTCTCTAAATGCTTTTTGCAAAACCATTGCCTGGAAAAGTTCCTTCTTTGGACTGCACTTCCCAGATACCGGCACATTGTCGTTCCCAAAACCTTTTTTTTCCCCAAGCTCTTAGCAAGACCTCAGTTTCTTCCAGCCGTGAAGGAAAACGCCCAGAAATAGCAGCCACGTAAGAATAAATGCCCCCTATTAACCCTACGGGTTGGGTTCCGTTCACCTTGGCTGAAGCTTCATTTGGACGGCAGGTGCTTCTGCAAAAGGCAAGGATACATCTCAGACCACCTGGGCCAACAGAGGAAAATCCTTGACTTCTCTGGGACAACCTGCTAGTAAGCCACCATGGACTGTCCTCCCTCTTTCACAGGAAATGAACATGACGTGGTGAACAGCCAACACACACTCTCCCCCCCCTTTCTGCAAGACTTGCAAAAGAAGGAAAGGGGCTTCTGACATTTTGCCAAAAGATTTTCCTGCTATTTCTGACCCCCTGCAAAGGTCTCGGTAGGTTGCTCACGAGTTGTGTGTCTCTGACAGAGCTCTCCCAACAGCCATCTCACCGAGAGAAGGCCATTTTTGTGGTGCTCTTTGGATCAGAAAAGAAAGTGCTGGCTTCTCCCCTGCTCTTTCTTCTCGTCTGTAGACCTCTTCATGGGGACAAGATTCCATTCCAATTTCAGAAGACTCAAAAGGAGCCCCCTTTTTACTCCCGGAACAGTTTGGGGAAGGTTTTTAAAATGAAAGCAAAGGGGCTTCTACCCCCACCCCCCAATTGCTGTGCCATACAAAGAAACATCCATTTCTTGTGGAAGTCCTCTTCATTTTCCAGGTGAACCGATTAGAATTGGAATTGAAGACAAACGTATCTGCAAGTCGAACAGATCTCAGCATCTCTAGTTCTTTGGAACCCACCTAGGGCCTCTATAGTCACATATTGGTTATGTGAATAGAGAGACCCTAGGGAAGAGGGTAGGACAAGAACCAGTGGGTGGTAACTCGTCAGAGGGAGATCCAACCTGGAACTAGAGGAATTTCCTGACGGGGAGAACCATGAAGCAGTAGAACATCTTGCCTCCCGAGGTGGTGGGTTCCCCATCATTGGAGGTTTTCAAGAAAAGACTGGACAGCCATCTGTCTGGGAGGGTATGAGGTTTTCTGCCTTGGTCAGGGTATTCAACTAGAAGACCTCCAAGGTCCCTTCCAACGATTCTGTGATACCAATATTTCCTATATGCACCCCATCCATTTTTCGTAAACGTCTGAGGTTCTTTTGCAACTGTCTTTATATACTGTGCCTTGTCTCCTGGAGGCGCGCCCCATGTCATGGTGGGTATCACCACTGCCATGGAAGGCCCTCTCTCCCCCTGGGAGGCCTGGCTGCCTGGCCTGGACCCAGTATTTTGGGGCAACCCTCTGAAACCCTGGCTTTTCTACTTGGCTTTGGATACCATCTGGGACCGATTCTTCGCGGCCTTTTGGCCCTGTAGGCACGAGTGTGTTGAGTTGCTGTATTTTCTCTGCCACCTCAAAAATTTAAGTACTTGGGGACAAGGTACTTTAAAAGTATTGCTAAAAATTGAAAATGTGTCGTTACCATTTAAAAAATTGCAGGAGAGGAAATTAGTAAAGTCAAGAGAGAGAGAGAGGTCATAAGACTTTTAAAATCTTAAAAGGTTAAAAACTAGGAGGGGGAAAAAAACTCTCAAAACTAGTTGAAAGCCAACAGACATACAGTGGGGGCTTAACTTGAGAACTTAATCCGTATTGGAAGGCGGTTCTCAAGTCAAATTTGTTTTCTCCATTGGAAACCATTGAATGGTCTGTCTAATGGTTTCCAATGGAGAAAATTCAAAAAATCACCAAAAATTAACAAAGTGTCAGAACAACACCAAAAGCAGTTTGCATAGGTTTCAGGAGGTGGGCTAACCAGTGCAAGCATTTAAAACGGCTTCCAAACATTGTAAGACACTTCTACAGGAACGAAAAAGAGACATTGTTGTGTGAAAATCCCCCATAGGAAACATCGCTGTGTGAGGCGGCAAATTTAACAGAAAAAGGCATTGTTGTGTGAATTCATCGTTGTGTGAGGCACCCGTTGTGCGAGGCACCACTGTATTGCTAAAAATTTAAAATGTGCCGTTACCATTAAAAACATTGCAGGAGAGGAAATTACTAAAGTCGAGAGAGAGAGAGGTCATAAGACTTTTAAAATCTTAAAAGGCTAAAAACCAGTTGAAAGCCAACAGACATATTGGCTGGCATGTGATGCAGCTGCCCACTCGGACTGGGGACTTGATACATGTTGATGGCAGGTTGGGCCGCTCGCCTGGATGTCTGTAGATTGGCTGTCCTATCCCTTGATGTGTGGGTTCTTGGGGATGCAACGTGGCGGCTGCATTTAGGCTCCCCTGGAGCTGCTGGTTGGCTGCTGAGCAATCACAGTGCCGAACTAGGGATCCCTTCAGTCTGGAACCCGCAGGGTTCTTCTCGTGTCCCTGCCGACGGATGAGCTTACAGAATTAGCGGGAGTCACTGGAGTTTGATTTCTCCATCCTGTTTCTAATATACAAGGGTGCCTTTTCAGTGCTAAGCAGCCTCCGTCCTTTCTTTCCCAGGGTTTGCCGGTTGCCTTGGACAAGCACATTCTTGGCTTCGACACAGGAGGTAAGAGGGTTTCCTTGCCATGCGCTTTGCTCCCTAGGGCCTTTGGTGCATGGCTGCCATGCTGCACCGTTCAGTGTGCTCTGGGGTGGGTGCGCAAGCCCGTCAGCCCTAATGCAGACAGCGCCTCTCTGCTGCAGCGAAACTGTGGTCTTTGTTTTCTGCCCGGGAGAAAAGTCAGGGCCGCCTTCCAATGATGTGGTCCTGGCCACTGTAGTTGCACGACGCAACCTTGTATGGTTTATTGCAAACAATTCCCCATATAATCCCTCAGTAGCCAGAATTCTCTTAGTGATGCCCCTAATGTAACTCAGTTAAGCTAGTCTCGGTAGTGAATGGCCACTAGGTAAGGGAACTGTTGTAAGCCTTTGCTCTTGTGCTCCGGTTAGTTTGCGTGACTTGGTGAACAACAGTAAATGCTTACACCTGACTTCTTAATTGGTGATAGTTTGCCACTGACATTAGTGTGGCAGCTGAATTGCAGCGGAATGCATATGAAGATTTCAGGCCAATGTGTTCTCAATGGCTTCTGGATTTTAGTGAGAGTGTCGTTATCCGGGAGGCTTCAGGGCTGGCTGAGGGCGGAGACAGGCTCCTCATGGATCCATGTTGGATTTGTGATGGGACCAGCATCACGTCATCTGGAAAAACGTGACTCCCCAGAACAGTGGGTGCTTTGCTCTGATGCACCTCTGTGTGGTTATTAGAAGCCATTCGGGTATCCTGGTCAATTTCGCCTCCAGCCCAATGCTGGACTGAGCTCTGGGCTCCAGACCAGGATTCCCCAGACACCTGGAACTGCCTATGACAATCCCCTCCAGAACAGGTGGCATGAATAAGGAAGTCTCCCTGGAGACTGAAGATGTCCGGGTTCAAGTACCACAAGAAACGGTAGCCATTGTGTCTTTATCCAGGGGCTGCAGCACTATGGCGTCTGCCTCTCTTACCCAATGGGCTGTACTGCCTTGCGAGATGTAGGGCAGAAAACATCAGGAGGGTCAAAAAGTTGCCCACCCCTGGCCTGAGTTTTGTTCAAATGTCCAAGTTTTGTCCCGTGAGTTTCGGCGTCTTTGAGATCAGCCCCTATGCCCATGTGTGTATGAGCCCGAGCGAGGAGGAAGCCGGCCCTTCTCAAAGGAGGAAGGACCCACATGCTGGGCTGGTGTTTCACCCTGTTTCACACACTGGGGGCCCCTGGATGCACTTAGCTTGGGTTTGCTTCCAGGGGGTGTTCAGCTCTGCAGGAGGCCTTGCCAAACCCACTAGGTTTCCAAAGGGGGCAAGACCCGGAGGGCATCGCAGGAGATTTGGCAGCTGCTTCAAAAGAATGGGAGGACTGAACTTGAGGCCTGTTTCTTTTCCCTTCCCCCCCCCCCCAAGATGCCGTTCTCAACGAAGCCGCTCAGATCCTCCGCCTGCTGCATATAGAAGAACTCCGCGAACTGCAGACCAAGATCAACGAAGCCATTGTGGCGGTCCAGGCCATCATCGCGGATCCAAAAACTGACCACAGACTGGGGAAAGTCGGGAGATGAACTGACACAAAGAGCCGCCCTGCTCTTCCGTCGGGGCTGACAGGAAAGGAGGGAGGGGACCCCTCTGAGCCCAGCATGCCATTCCGACAGGCTCCCGCTATTTCCCGTGTTTGGAAAGAAAACAAGGCTGACTGCCCAGCGCAGCCTCTCAATGCCATTTTTCTTGACGTAAATAAAGCTTGGATTAAGCTGATCCAAACTGTTATCCTTTTAGCAAAGCGGTTGCCAAATAACCATCGCAGCTCAGTTCCCCCCGGTTGGTTGGTTGCAGGAATATATTACAAATTGAGTCAGTGAGCTGAGCCGCCCACCCCCCTTTTTTTTTAAAAAAAAGGTTTTCTGAAATTTGGCATATCGTTCTCGCAAAGTTTTCAGTGTCATTTCCCTCATGTTCTTCATTTCAAGGCCAGGAAAGGCTCTAGAAGAGCTGTCAAAGGAAACAAAGCTGAAGTGGCCCAACCATACAAAAAACAAAAAACCTCTGATTTTTGTTTATTTAATTTATTGAATAGCGTTTAAAAAAAACATGAGAAGTTACAGATAGATTTTGGCACACACACTTGATCAGACAGTCCCAGAACACTGGGGGGGGGGGGGCAGGGGGCTGCTGCTTGGGGAAAATCAATTTGAACCCAGCCTAAATCATATTAGCAGATTCTCTTATAAATACTAAAAGGGCATGCAGTGAGGCAGAAGCATTGTGTTGCATTTTCCAGAACACCTTTAACAACTTTGTATGGTTCCTAAATATAAACAAGGCACTCTTTCCACCATCTGATAAAGTCAGAGCTTTTACCCTGATCCAGTAAGGCACAATGGCAGGAGACCTGGCCGATCATTTCCTGATTTCCCTTCCTTCTTCACTGTTTTTAAGTGTTTAGAACCTCTTGCGTTCCCCAATAAAATTACAATGGAGTAAGGATATGTTTATACAGTCCTATTTTCTTTTTGCAAAGGAGCTTCCATCAGCAAAATGAGCAGGATTTAGCCCACATCATCCATAGCACCATTTCTTCTTGGCAATATATAAAAAAAAATCCATTTTATAAAAATAAAAATACAGTAGTAAAGATCTGAGGTATAACTTAAGAATACTGGATAATTTTGCTCTAAGTTAAACCACTGGATTCCCTTCAGTACAAGTCGCCGGTGGTCCTGATGTAGCTGGAGGGATCATTTTCACTATATACAGTATCAGGATCCGTCTTCCGGGACCTTTCACTCTCCTCCCCTTGGGTCGCACACCAGGTACCTTATTTCCTTCCTGCTGAAAAGACAAACGAACATTTTATGCAAAAGTTGTTATATTTAATCTGTGATGCAGATTCTTCCCCCCCCCCCAAAAAAAAACTTGCAGTCATTAGCAGGGAAGATGGGGAACTCCTTCCAGAATCTTGAATTCCTGATGTGCCCCAAACTTTGGTGCAGTTTTTTCAGTGGTGTCAAGAGTCTTGTTTCCACATCCAATTTTATCCTGTTGCTGCACCTTGGCAAGCGACAGAGCATTTAGGCTGCTTCTGTTGTAAACAGGATATTCAGCTTAAACTCTTTGCCTGACACCGGTGGAAATGGATGGCTTTGGGAAAAACCACTGAAAAGGACTGGGAAGATTCTTCCCAGAAGCAAAAGGGTTCGTGCAAAATGTCACGCCTTCCAACTTTCCCACCCTCTGCAATTTTTGGTGATGCTGTCGTTCTCACCTCCTGGACAGTACGGGTGAACGACGGTTATTCCGTAGAGATGAGTCCGCTGTTCTGGAAGGTATTCGCCTGTGAAATCACCACTGTCTTTGTTGACAGCTATAACGCCGTCCCTGTGCAAGGATTCAAAGGGAGAAAGAAATGCTTTCACCTAATGCAACACCTTTTGTTTATGTGCTGTTCTGATCTCCAGGATGGCAGAATAAGGAATGTGAACGCTAGTGTTAGTTCTCCCTGTCTAAGATGCGCGGAGGAGCAAAATGATTAAACGTCTCTGCATTGGGACGTTGGCTTGGGCATCTTGTGAGAATGGCTGATAGTCGGATTCCAAAAGATTTCCTGTATGGAGAATGAGTGCAGGGAAATTGCCCCAGAGGGAGACCACAGCTGCAATACAAGGATATTATCTGCAAGCGGGATCTGAAGGCCTTAGGAATGGACTTCCACAGATGGGAAACCTTGACCTCTGAGCGTTCAGCTGGGAGGCAGGCGGTGCATCCCAATTTGAAGAGACCCTTGTCCAGCAGGCCGAGGCCAAGAGGCCGCCACAAAAGCAGCAAAATCAGGGAGCTGGATTATATTTGTCCTCAGCATGGAAGGGATTGTCACGCTCGAATTGGCCTTCTCAGCTGAAGTTCTCAGCTCAGGACTTGCTCTTCCAAGTCCTTCATACAGAGCAGGTGATCATCATCTCTCGAGACTGAAGGATGCCTAATCCTAAATGGCTGGAGCCAACCGCAGGCGTGCGGCTCAACAGTCCATCAACAAGTGGGAGAGGTTCATAGCAACGCCTTCTGTCCTTTTAAAGAACATAGGAATGGCTGTAACAGAAGGGTTGCAATCGAGACGTCAACTACCAAAACACCCCAAACACCAGAAAAATGAGTGTTCTTCAAGAGCTGAATCTAAAATCTGCCATTTTTCATATTTGAGAGAAAAACTCACCTTGGGGTGATTTTTCCCCCCCAGATTTGAAACGTTTGCCGATCGCCCGTCACCATCCTCCCAGCAAACCTTGAGAAACAGTGGGATACATGAGATTTCTTTCGCACCATTTTGGACAGCCAAAAAGGTTCTCCGGACCTTACCTTCTCCAGTCTGTGTGGTAGAAGTGGTTGGCGTAGCTGACGATGCTGAAGGGGTAGTTGAGGTTATGCTGAATGACACGCCTTCCTGTCCCGTTGGGCAAGGCACACTCCAGTTTCTTTGTTCCTGGGCCAAACAGAGAGACTTAAATCAGGGGAAAGCCTACCACTAGCCTATTCCATGGTTGATGTCTGACTTCAAGTGTATCACTCTAGCCTGGAGAGTTTTTAAAAAATTTTCCTGGTCTGCTGGTGATGGAGAATTGGATGCCGATAAAGTCCACCCCAATAAATAAATTACCGTATTTTTCGCTCCATAAGACGCACCTCTCCATAAGACGCACCAAATTTTTAGGAGAAGAAAACAGGAAAAAATAATCTGTTTTCTTCACTCCATAAGACGCACAGACTTTCCACCCCCCTGTTTTGTGGGGGGAAAGTGTGTCTTATAGTGCGAAAAATATGGTAACTGCACGCTGCCAAGTTGAATCTGATGGGTGGTGACTGACCCTTTCCAGGGTTTTCTAGATATAGACTACTCAGGAGTGGTTTACTTTTTCCTCCTCCTGCTGGTGGTTCTCTGGGACCGTTCTGCAGCTTACCCAGGGCTACACAGGATGGCTTACCCCCCTGCGAGGTAGAGTGGGGAATCCTGATCCTGATTCTGCAGCCAGAGACCCAACTCACTGTCCTCTCGAGCCACGTCTGCTTTCTTTGCACACAGCGGTCTGCAGAGGTGGATCCTAAGAAAGGGGCCTGCTAGGAGGCCACACAGTGACAGCAGAGGAACTACCTCTGGGTCGAGAGCACGCCTGCCCTCTGAGGTCCCTGGTGAAGCTTTCGCCATCCCTTCAACTAGGGAAGAAAGGGGGCAGGACCTGCAGTCACCCGCTAGTGCAAAGGTGGTGTCAAAGGTCCCTCCCACATCAAGAGAGCCTTGTGTGGCCTCAACATTTCACAAGCTTCTATCGCAGAGACATGGCAGAAGCATAACAATGATGAGACGGACGGGGCCATGTTTTTGGAAGGGTGTGTGTGCAAAAGGAAAGGATTAAAATGCAGTTTGGGGAGTAGCAGGGCACCCCAGTGGGGTCACAAAAATGACAAAAATGTCCAGTTTGCCCATCCTTAAAATTAGGAGATCAATCATGATGGGCATTTGCACATAGATGCTAATGAAAAAGCGTCTGTCCCCATCACGTCTCCAAGACTGTGAAACGTAGCCACTTGAAATCTATATCAGGAAAAAACTCTTAACTGATAGAGCAGTACCACAATGGAACCAGTGATCTCGGAAAGTGGTGAGCCCTCCAACATTGGAGGCACTCAAGAGGAAACTGGATCACCCTCCGACCCATCTGCGTTCCTTTGGATTCTTGTCTTGAGCAGCGGGTGGGACTAGATGGCCTTAGAGGCCCCTTCCGACTCCTTTACTCTATGATTCTCTGGAATTTTTTTCTCCTTCGCCCACCAACAGAGAGGAAAATTAAACCAAACTCAAGGGGCCTTCTTATTTTCCAGCTTAAAGCCCTTACTTTGTATGGTGGACCTTGACTGCTTTCTCTCCACCACTAGCCAAGATTGTGGGGTGTGTTAACGGCCACCATCTCTCACTGAGTTACCCTCTGCAATTCATTTTGAGACACCCCCCAACAAAAGGGGCCAAAGCAGAGAAGGGCGAGATCTCACCGCTTCTGCTGGGGAAGAGAGGGGTTTAAAAGCCCTTCGGAGAAAGAGAGATCATAAACTAACCCAAACCAAACTGCCGTTCGAGGTTCTTGCTCGATCAAAACCTGGCCGGTAGTTGCCAACCAGCTGAATCCTTCTGGCAGGACAGATCTTAAAGAATGGCATTGGGCATAAATTGATGTGATGGAAGAAACTGGCCACCCACATCCACACATCTTCTATGCATAAACACTACCTCACCTGCATCCGCCCAACAAATCAGTTTGGAAAAGGGGTCAAAAGTTAAGCCGTTGGGCAGTCCAATGTCCTGGCTGATCAAAATCCTCCTGTTTTCTCCAGTCACTGTGGACATCTCGATTTTGGGAGCTTCACGATTCCAGCNNTTTCCCTTCCGTCTTCCTTACTCGCGAAGCACGCTTCTCAACCCGCGTGGCTGTGAAACATCTGCACGACACCTGGGTAGTCATACCAGGAGATAAGAGATAGGAAGAGGGTTGGAGAGTTTGAAATCATGCAAATCAAGGGAAATTCTTTGGTTTTAGGAGTTTAATTTGTATAGAAGCAGTAGACGACCGGAGTCTTCTTAAACAATGAAGACTGGGGACACAGACAGCCCCATGATGAAATCCTGCAACAAGTTGCCACTAGAGGAAGCTCATTGAATGGAATGGAATTTACACGGGAGCTGACTCACCAAATCACCACCGATTCAGTGGCCTACTCTAGTTGACTTACTAACGGATGTTAGCCACCGAATTGAACTATAGCAGACCATCTTTTTTCCCATTCAGCTGAACATTAATCCAATTATGAAAATGCCAAATATCATGTAGTATTTAGAGATATTTACAGTGGTGTCTCGCTTGACGAGGATAATTCATTCCGTTGAAATCGCTGTTAAGCGAAATCCTTGTCAAGCAAAATGAAAAAGCCCACTGAAATGCATTGAAACCGGTTCAATGCATTCCAATGGGCTGAAAACTCACCGTCCAGTGAAGATCATCCATAGGGGCGGGCTTTTTTGGTGCCTGTAAAGCGGGGAATCCATCCTGAAAACACAGCAGGGAGCCATTTTGCACAGCGGGTGGCCATTTTAGAACCACCGACCCGCTGTTTCAGAATCATCGTTTAGTGGAAAATCGGTTCCCAAGCAGGGAACTGATCATCGTTAAGCGAATTTTCCCCATAGGAACATCGTTTTGCGATCACAAAAACTTCATCGTAAAGTGGTTTCGTCATTTAACAAGGTAATCGTTAAGCGAGGCGCCACTGTACTTATTCTTTTACTGATGCTTGTGCAATGTTTTCATCCAGATTCCTATTGAGTTTATAAGTGTAAACCCACAAATGCAGAACTGGAAGTCAGTCCATCTGTTACACAGACACACTCGAGTTGCACACCCTGGCACACGACAGCCACTCAGGAAACTCACTTGCACAATTTTTTCTTACCCGAGTGTACTTGTGTGCTATGATTCGGGCCCTTGTTCTACTTGTCTGGTTACAGACGCTGTATTTACTTAGGAGACTCTTTTGATTTCTCCAGTAAAAATGCATTGTTAATTTTCAGTCTTGTCTGTTAAGTACTTTGAGATCACCGTTTAGGAAAAAGTAATGTACAAAATAAATTGATAGCTTAGCTAATTGAGTCATGGAGGCGTGGGGGGGGCTTGATGAGAGCAACTAACCCAAGCTTTCCATGGTCCAGATGGCCCAGCCTGGCACCCTGACCCCTCCCTCCATCAGCATCCTTGAGTCCTTGCACTCAGGTTCCTCACAGTTGCCATGGTTGCAGTGCCTGCTTTGTGTGCATTTCGGCCGGCACTTTATTAGGTGGTTTATGCACCATCGAGTCACATCCAACTTACAGTCACCCTTATAGGGTTTTCAAGGAAATTGTGATGTTTAAGGAGTGGTTTTTACCAGTGACAAGCCCCCAGTGAGTGAAAAGTGCGATGTTTAAGGAGTGGCTTTTACCAGTGACAAGCCCCCAGTGAGTGTCCACGGCTGAGGTGAGATTTAAACCCAGGTCTCGGGAGTCCTAGCCTGTCATTCTATCCACTATAACCACACTGAGTACCTCATCAGTTTATTTGACCAGAAATGTGTGCAAGCTTTCGAGACTCCCAGGTTTCTTCATCAAGAATTACATCAAGTATTACAGGAAAAACAGGCGGGGGAGGCATGATTTTAAGAGGAAGCCCCTCTCTCCCTTATTCCCCAACCTGCTATTTCAAGTACCATGCCTGACAAAGCGATCTGGAAATCTCGAACGTTTGCATGCATTTTTCGGCTCTCGATGCAGCCGGACATTTATCCGTCTCTCTCTCCCTTTTCTCCGAAGTGTGGCTTTCGAAGAAAAAAACAAAACAAAACAAAACACCAACATCTAACTGAAGCAGGAGACCGGTTTCCCCTGCTCCGGCCACTCACCCACGGATGGGATCCACCGCAATGGCGCGAGGGTTGACCAGGTCCGCGGCAAAGAGGACCCGCCGTTCTGTGCCGTCCAGCCTGGCGGTCTCAATTTTGTCCAGGCCACTGTCTGTCCAGAACATGGTTCTTCGGATATGATCGATGGCCAGGCCCTCCGGACTGATGAGCCCTAAGGAAGGAGATGGAGGAGGCCATTTTCCTGGAGGCTTGGAGAAGTCCATCTTTTTGCATGTTTTGAACGGCAGAGGTTCTCCCCCACCCACCGACTTTCCAAAAACAGAACAGATATCTTTTCTGCCATCAATATGACAAAGATTCTTGCGATAACCAATTTATCACCAGGCAAAATTTCTCCACCCGGCGTTCTGCGTTGGATGGAGTGGCCTATAGGCCACAAAACGCAGTGCTACAATGCGAGGTGTTCGGCTGTTACCCAACGACCCTTCCCTGCCCACGGAATGGCTTCTACTAGTGGAATTAGAAAGAGGAGAATTCCCTGCTGCACCCCGTTACCCTCAAAACACACCTGTGCTTCAAAATATGCCCCAGAAAGATCTGGAAAACTCCCCAGAGAAGGTTTCAGAGAGTTTGAGATAAAGAAGATGAACAGGAAGACCCACAGTGTTCGCAGCGGACTGTTTATCTAACACTGGGTTTTACTGGTCGCCTTTATGGGTAAAATCGCCCCAGAGGGAGACCACAGCTGCGATCTAAGGAGATCTGCAAACGGGATCTGAAGGTGTTAGGAATGGACCTCAACAGATGGGAAATCTTGACCTCTGAGCATTCTGCCTGGAGGCAGGCAGTACATCACGGCCTCTCCCAATTTGAAGAGACCCTTGTCCAGCAGGCCGAGGCTAAGAGGCGGTCCCCAAACCAGCAAATTGTATTTATCTTCAGTGTGGAAAGGATGGTCCCTCTCGAATTGGCCTTCTCAGCCCCACTAGACGCTTTTCCAAGTCCTCCTTTCAGAGCACGTTCCCATCGTCTCTCGAGACTGAAGCCTAATCTAATCTTTACCGGTGACAAGATCCTGTTGCTTTTGCCGGAACTGAGCAACATCATTGCAGGATAGCTACATTCATATGGGCATTTATGAAAGCGGCCGGCAGAATCCCACGCAACCGAGGGAGGCGATGCACGCACCCCCTATCAGCGCAAAAGAACGGGCACCCTCGCCCACCCTTTCCACTTGAGCGATGGAGGCTGTGGTTCTGTTTAAATGACAATCATCATTTCCTTTCTTCCCCCCCCCCAACCTGTACCAGAGCTCGGAGACATGAGCTTTTTGGACTACAACACCCAGCATCCCCCAGTCCTCCACCAGGCACCTACTCAGAGCATCACCCAGAGGAGGTGGGCAGCAAAGCCAGGATGATGCCTCCAAGTGGGCCCCCAAAGGAGGGGGGACAGCTTGTCGAACCACCAAAACCCCTGTTGAGGCCGTAAACAAACTGGGATTAAACAGCCAAACCAGCAGTTCGGTTTCCGATCACTAGCCACGCGGGCTTCAACGTCTTAGAACTGAAGTCCCACACAAGTACCCTTGCCCAGCCCTTCATTGTCTTTCTCAAGGACCCAATCCACTTTTCAATTTCCTTTTGAAGTCAGCTGGCAGAAATTTGGCCCACTGCTGATTGCTTGATAAAACAGAAGCTTGGTTGCCCAGCCATCCAGAGATGACGAACCACCCACCTGAGCTGATGATGGTCTCCGGTTCTACCCCCGACTCTAGGCTTGCCCGGCTGATTGTTCGGCCGGCCACATCCGTCCAGTACAGCATTTTCTCCCTGCAGTCATAATCGATCCCCACGACGATGGAGCCCTAGAGAGAGGCAACACGCCAGAAGAGAATGGTCAATTGTCAGAGGATCCCATTCAGCCTACGAGTGAAAAGGAAGGATGGGAGTTTTTAATTCTGTGGACTACAAACCACCATAATTTTCCATTCTGGGAGTTCTAACAACCTTGCAAGCAGCTTTCCAAAAACAAAACAAAAAACACCTTAGTGTGGCTCACCTGGGAGAAAGGCCTAAATCTTTGAGGCTGAGCTAGGCCTAGTTTCACCAAAGCTTCCTGTTCCTGCCCCAGTGCAAGCTGGGAACTTTCTTTCTGAGCAAGATGCTGGAGGCTAGCTAAGCTTTCCAAGGCCTCCAAGATGCATCCCATTGATTTTTTTTGAAAGGCGCTTGAAAGGTTGGTAGACCTTTCAGAATGGAGAATCATGGTGTTTGTAGTCCACAAAATCCAAAAAAATGCATCTCAAGTGAAAAGAGCTTTCAGCTTCTAAAGTTAAAGTACAGTCTTTAAAAGTAAATAAGAAAGTAAAAATCTGCAGTGACCTTATATTTTTAAGGTAAGCTGGGGGCACAGTTCTTTCATCTCCTTCCTGCCCTTAAACAATAAGAGGAGCCATAATAATGACGATGTTGCGGCACATTATTCTGGGACCACCCATAACAGGAACAGACCGCCAGACGGAGAGACTTGAGCGAGTGACAGAACAGGTAACTGTTTTAAAGTAACATTGCAAGCTCTTGCAATTCTTCACGAGACCCTGAGCTGCTAAAAATTGCCCGGCAGGACTGGCTCGATTAAAAAAAGGCGAGGCACAATGGCTGAAATTATAACCAAAAAGTTGATTTTCTGATGCAAAATTAAGAAGTAGATGGTAACCGTGAGACTGCCAAGAACGATCAATTATAAACTATATTGCAGATTATGTTGAAGAGGTCCAGGTATCGATGGCGCTGGCTGGGGTCTTGCAGAACTGTAATGACCCTTCTATAGTTTCTTCCCCACTATAAGCAGCCAGCTCTAAGTCTGAAACAATCTCAGACCCTCATCTTAAATGCCATGGAGGTTTCTCAGCCAGATGTTCACGCAGCAGATTTTCTATGTCACCAAAAGAGGACAAATCCTGCTATTTGATTATTTTTAACACAGGCGTGCATGACTATTGGGGTTTTTTCGATGCTCAGTGTCAGCCGCCCAAATTCTAAAGCCAGCCTTGGGCTAAATTTTGAAAATATAAAAAGTAAAAACAGATTCTGCCATTCTCCATTCACCCTCCTTCAAAGACACACAGAATTTCTCTGGAACACTTTCCCGCCGTTTTTTCCGACAACAAGCGAATTCGTAACATGGTGGTCCCAGCCTTCGGCCACTGGCGTCTCAGCAAACATTTTGCTCAACGGCTGCTTGATTCCTTGCAGGAAACTTTGGAAATTTTGCTGTGGCCTTGTTTTAATGTTGTGTGAAGCCACTCAGTCCCTAATGGGGCCCTGTGTTTGTGCTGCTGCGTGCAAGCGTGCAAGCGTGTGCATGTTTCATATATTCATCTGTTCCCAAGGAGGTGGTCTGGAGACCATCTGCGTGGCTTCCCAAACCATGTTCCCAGACTAGATCCTTGGAAATTTTGATTGCAAACATTTCTTGGCCCAGAGCTCGTAAACATCTGGGCAAATATTATGAACCATTTGAGAAGAAGGTGGAGGAAAAATCCACAGCAAAGCTGCTGCTTCCTGTTAACATTTAAAGCCGCAGGATAATTTGAGGATGGAAAGGGGGGGCATCGTGGTTCCAAAATCCTGTTTTGTGTACTTGCTTGAAAGCAAACCCCGTTCATCATCAAAACTATTTTCCTTGATTTGTTTTGATTCATCTTATAAGTTTCCAGAGGCGTGCATGGAGAAATATACGGAGGGACATGCCATAATTTGCCAGACAGAGCAGTGGGCGGTGGGATGAAGCCGAACCCAAGAGCTTAGGGCTTCCTCTGGACGGTTCCCCTGAGCTGTTTCGAACGAGGGCCTGCAACCCCAGCTGATCCCACGCTGCCTTTTTCTGTCTCAAACAAGATTTCTCTCCTTCTCTAACTTCCAAATGCAGAGATCTTGAAAGATCCAGAGAAGGTGTGGGGAAGCTTTCTGGAGGAAGGTATGGAGGCCGACATCTCACCTGAGGGACCCACCCAGAACTGCGCTTATCTCTTCAAAAAAGAGAGAGGAGAAAATGAAACCAGAAATGGCCAGAGAGACACTTCTGAGTCTCAAAAAGGCTGATTCTGACTTCCGAAAGCTGACCGTGAGCCAGCACCTCACACAGAAGGCGAATTACGAATTACGCCTCTCCTTAGCGACTTTCCTTTGTGACAAGTAGGGACCCGTTTTTTGGGGAATCATGAACAGTATAGCGACCGTGGCAGCAGCGGGGAGACTGAGAAGAGAGAACTCTCATTGCACACAGATGGTTTTTCGATAGGTACCTGATAGATCTACCTTAACGGGACCATTTCAAAAGCTGTGTGCAACATCATCCCACCTCTGAAGCTGTCACGCGCACACAGGGGGCCAAACACGGTCTCGGAATAAATCCGATTTGCGACATCCAGCCTTCAGGTGAGCATTCCTCACAGAGATGGGCATGGACCTCAATTCGGAGGTTGGTGCTGTGCGTTTCCTTCTCCCCCTCACCCCGGCCAAGGACCCACTCACCAGCCGGTGGGCGCTCCTCCCCTCCTCCTCTTTGGCTGTTCGACCACCACCACCACCGGCCGGAGTGCGGGGTAGTCTGTCCTGCCTCCTCGTCCGGATCAGGCAATCAGCCAAGGAGGAGGGTTAGAGAAGGTGCCATGCGTACGAACCGGCCGTGAATCTCCGAACCGAGCTTTGTGCCCATCTCTAGTTCCTATCGTGAGCACAGAGCCTGTCTTCCCCTTTCCATTCCAGGAGCCTCGCGTTGCGGTGGTTAAACTGCAGTACTGCAGCCGCTGTGCTCACGACCTGGGTGATCGTGAGCTGAAAGTCGGCTGGAGGTTGACTCAACCTTCCATCCCTCCATGATCAGCAAATCGAGTACCCTCTTCCCCTGGCGCCCCTCACCCTCGGCCCCGCACCACCCCATACGGCAGAGTGTTTTACATGCAGAGAGAGCAGAGTCTTGGCCGCGTCCTTCCGAAGTCTCGTCCCGTTCAAGGGCAAGGAACCGATTTGCTGGCCCTGGGCGTAAACGAGGAACGTCCCAGCCGAAGGCGGAGTGACGTCAGGGCGGGGGGACGGGCGAACCGTCGGCGGCGCCACCGTGGGGAGGCCTGCGGGGGGTGAAAGCAAGGAAACAGGTGTTATTACACAGCTATGTCACAAAACGAGGGTGTCCGCGTGTCCTCTTTTAGGAGGGAGCATCTTCCCTTTGAAGACCATCTGTTAGGTCTTCGACCCTTCTGAAGGCCATCTCTAGTTCCTAGAAATGGCCTAGAGAAACCCTTGGACAGATTTTAGTCCGGGTGAAAAAGAATCGTAAAGAGGGAGATCACCCCTAATTTTGCATCTGTGCATGGAAGCCGGAGCCTTGCTATGTGCCTCTGATTCTCTTGTTTCCTCTGGAGGAAAGAGACTTCCTGGGACTGCTTTTGTTGTTGTTTTGCAAGCAACCCCTGCCGTGCTGGCTTGGTGGTGCAGAAAAGTCCTGCATTGGATGGACAGAAGGATGGAAAGACAGAGGTGCACAAAGTTTAGGTGGCAGATCAATTGACCAATAAGTGCTTGTTTTAAAAAACAGCCCTGCTTAGCTTTTGCAAACTCCTGGCTGTGGCATATCACTCAATGTGTGCAATTGCATGCAAACTGCCGTTCCTCTTTTGACTTCACCCCGCCCCATGCCTACCATCTGGCAAAGGTCCTCGCAGGTCGCACCTCTTTCTGCAGGGACAGATCTGGCCCTAAAACCCACGGTGTGACCAGCTGTGCAACCAGTAGAGGAACGGGTGCACGAGAGACAGAAGTCAAAATGGTTGTTGTGAGTTTTCCGGGTTGTTTGGCCATGTTCTTAAGAACACGGCCACACAGCCCGGAAAACCATCGGATCCCCGCCGTAAATGCCTTCGAGAATACGGAGGTCAAAATGCTACCCCAAACAGTTGGACGGTTGCCCTGAATGTCCTCAGGATCCGACCAAAGATGCCCCTGTGCGTCAGAAATATTGTGTAAATTTAAGTACATGAATAATCCGTGCAGCTTCACAATGCTATTCATCATGGCTAGAGGTGTACAAAGATGTGTTTCTGGACTACATCTCCCAGAATTCCCCATCTGTGAGCTGCAGCCCCAAAACACACCTTCCGCTTATCTCTATTTGTTCACTACTCAAACGTTAGAAAGACAAGAGCCCCCGTGTTTTGAGCAACGTCATCTGTTAGTCTTGCATGCTATATGCTCAGAGTATGGTGAGATGCCCTGTTTTCCCGAAAATAAGACCTAACCTGAAAATAAGCCCTAATAGGATTTTTCAGCATGCTCGTCATAGAAGCCCTACCCCAAAAATAAGCCCCAGTTCAGTGAAACCCTGCTTTCTATCCTTGTGCAGCAACCAGAAGAAGATGACAGGACTGCATTTGAATAAACGTAGATGGTTGTACATGAGAAAAATAAAACATCCCCTGAAAATAAGCCCTAATGTGTTTTTGGAGCAAAAGACCCTGTCTTATTTTCGGGGAAACATGGTAGAGGGGTACTTATTTTTAAGCAATTTTTTAAATTGCATAAAACATCAAGTAACAGATTGCCAATGCACATGATGGGACAGTAATTCCCCAATGTCACTTTTGAAAAGCAAAATAAAAAATAACGAGGAATTGCATTTATCTCACATGTCCTCTCTCTATAGCCTGAGATTCATTAAGCCACCCACCATGGTCACTGTTTACAGAACAATACCTCCTGGGAGGGGAACTGAATATCAACATGGGTTCGCCAACTTGCGCCCAAATGCCGTCTCAGATTTGTATACATGGATATATATTTGCCACGTGGTTTCACTCTTATGTCTGAGGAAGTGGACTTGATCCACAAAAGCTCACATTAAAATGTAGCTGTTAGCCCATAAGGTGCCACCACGTTTCTGTCTTCTTGATTTTTCTTTTGTTTTTGTGCAATTTATCTCAAAATAACACGGCCAAGCCCCGAACTGACTTTAAAAGCTAGTATGGAGCTGGCTTTGAAAGCTGGCCCGCGTTAGCTGGCCCGGTTCTCCACACCTCTCCACTGCACCAAACCCTGTTCTTTCTACCCCATAAACGTGCAGCCGACCCCCGTCAAGCGCCCAAGCTGACCCCGCTTGAGTTCTCATTTCCCAGCAGGCTTTGCAGCCGTCGGCCACCCTCTTACACGCAGGGGGGACTCCGGGTTCCGATCGGGTGCCTTGAACCTCGTCCCCAATGTCACTTTTAAAAACCAAAATAAAAAATGACGAGGAATTGCATTTATCTCAAGTGTCATCTCTCTATAGCCCGAGATTCATTAAGCCACCCACCATTGTCACTGTTTACAGAACAATACCTCCTAGGAGGGGAACTGAATATCAACATGGGTTCGCCAACTTGCGCCCAAATGCTGTCTCAGATTTGTATACATGTATAAATATTTGCCACGTGGTTTCACTCTTATGTCTGAGGAAGTGGACTTGATCCACAAAAACTCACATTAAAATGTAGCTGTTAGCCCATAAGGTGCCACCACATTTCTGTCTTCTTGATTTTGATTTTTCTCTTGTTTTTGTGTGATTTATCTCAAAATAACACGGCCAAGCCCAGAACTGACTTTAAAAGCTAGTATGGAGCTGACTTTGAAAGCTGGCCCGCATTAGCTGCCCGGTTCTCCACACGTCTCCACTGCACCAAACCCTGTTCTTTCTACCCCATAAACGTGCAGCCGACCCCCGTCAAGCGCCCAAGCTGACCCCGCTTGAGTTCTCATTTCCCAGCAGGCTTTGCAGCCGTCGGCCACCCTCTTACACGCAGGGGGGACTCCGGGTTCCGATCGGGTGCCTTGAACCTCGCCACATCCCTGCATATCCATATATATATATTTAAAATATTTTTACCGCACTGAAAGAGGACCCAAGGTGGCTTACATTATTAAAAGACAATATTTAAGGGAGGGAGGAGCTGATGATGGGTGGGTGGGAGGAAGGAAAGAAGGAAGGAAGGGGAAAAGGTGAGGGAGGAAGGAAGGAAGGAAGGAAAAGGGAAGGGAAGGGAAGGAAAAGGGAAGGGAAGGGTAGGGGAGGGGAGGCAGGGAGAGAGGGAGGGAGGGAGACCTTGGGAATAGGAACTACTCTCTGAGACCCAGGTGTCGGCACACGGGGCCCCTCTGTCTCTGTGGACCGCCCACCCCCACTTTAAAGGACGGGCCCACCCCTGCCTCCCCCTTTAATGCCGAGGGCCAACAGGAGCAGGCGGAGGAGAGGGACTCACCTGGAGCCCTGCAGTTTGGCGGGGCAGCGCCCGGCGGTCTCCTGCTCCCGGCAACTTCCTTGCCATCCCCGTCCACACACCAGCACTGCCCAGTGCTGCCCTGACACTGCAGTGGCAGGTAGTTCCCCTGGTCATCACACTCGGGCACGTGGGGCCCTCCAGGCAATGAAGGGCCTTGCTGGCTGGCATACAGTCGCTCGTGTTGGCAACGGGTCATTCGGTGAACACTCTCTGGAAGCCAGGAGAAGGGGGGGGAACACACAAACACCATTCTCAAGGTTTCACGAGGTTCCACATGTTTTCAAAATCATTCCAGAGACCCTTTCCCTGAGGGGCAGCTCAGGCAAACTTCACTCAGGGAGAAAGGCCGGTCCAGGAAGTGAACTCAGCATAATAATCATAATCATAATCGTCGTCGTCATCATCATCATCATCCAAAAATGATTCTATTTATTATTTATTTATTTATTTAAATAATCATAATCATAATCGTCGTCGTCATCATCATCATCATCCAAAAATGATTCTATTTATTATTTATTTATTTATTTATTTGATTTATACCCTGCCCATCTAGTAGATTCTACCACTCTGGGAGGCTATGATCACTCAGAAGTGGTGTTACCCTTCCCTTCCTCTAGGGGCGCTGTGGGACTGTGCAGCTGGCCCAAGGCCACTCAGGCTGGCTCTTCTCTCGGGAGATGCACAGTGAGGAACTTCTGCACCACAGCCAGGGACCTGAACCACTAGAAGCTATCCAGCCAGCAATGAACCAAACGGCACATAATTATTCATTATTAAGGCAGAAATGATGCATGGCCCAGATTTCAAGGAAAATGCCCATCCTTTGAGCCCCTACCTGGAGAACACTGGAAACCATCGCCCTCATAACCTGCCTGGCAGCGACAGGAGAAAGATCCCGGCGCATTGTAGCAGTGGGCAGCCGGGTGGCACCTCTCTTCTGCGCATTCATCCACATCTATGAAAGAGTAAGAAAACATTAAGGGCACATGAAAGCTCTCTCCAGATACTAACACGGTCCATAGTAGAAAATCAACATGTGGTAAAAGTAAGGTGAACTTTAGTCTGAGACGGAGCAGAACTGATGATGCATATACTTCTTTGGTTGTCTCAACCTTCATGTCTTCATGAACCTTAGGTTTTCCCAGAGTGAGGGCAGGAAACACAGCCCTCACTCTCGATTGTCTTCAGGACAACACTATATAGTGGAGCATCATCTTGAAGTCAAGTCTGAGTGAGGGCGTCCTTGCTCTGAGGAACATTTAAAAATCAGACACCTGCTCATTGAGACTTTGCTCATTGTTAGTCATCATTGGCTTTAAGTGTATTGCTGGGTTTGTCCATCTTAAACCCTCCCGTCCCCATCACCCCAAATAACTACACAACCTCTCTCCAACTGTGACAGTGTTGGAAGTTCTGCTTGGGTCCATAAAAAAAAAAAGGTTGAGCTCACTGGGATAATAATCTGGCTAATAGCTAGAGTCCCAAATCAAAAAGTTCCCAGTTAGGCTTAAATGTTGGGCCCACCTCCAACGTAGCCAGATCCAAACGCTTAAAACCACTCTCTTGGGCCAAAGACCTTTTAGAAGGTGTGTCTGTGTGAAATGCCCAAAATTTTGTTGCTCACCGTAGTAAGTCTCAACTAGAATAGGGCCCAATGGAATTCATGGAACTTACAGAGGAGCTGACTCACCAAAGGCCCACTGATCCAATGGGCCGACTCTAGTTGCAACTTACTGCCCTAAGTAACAGGATTTCACCCCATGTTCCAAACTACAAGAAAGTAGCAACTAGTCAAAAGTCACCCTGGGCCGATGTTAAAAACTCATGGGAGTTAAAAGACTTGCTATTTCTTTTGGGCTTTTTCTTTTTTTCCTTTCCTTTCTTTTTTTTTCTTGCTTTAATCACACAATAAAGGTGTTCTCTAACTTTGCTATCCAATGATTGCATCTTTCTAATCAGTTCATTGACAGGCTTTTAACTGAGCTGATTAAAAAAGGTATTTGTTGAAAGCCATCTTTATTCTCTCTGAAGAGCTTCACTGCAGATGGAGACAGGTGTGGAAGAGATTTGTTTAAAAGCATACAGAAGATAGTTTTACAGGAAAACCAATGGTCTTTGTTTGTTTGTTTGTTTGTTATTTGTTTAGATCTTGTTTGTATGTTTGTTTATTTGTTATTTATTTGTTTGACTTGTATACCACCCATCTGACTGCCAAGGCCACGCTGGGCAGTTTACGCAACAAATATAATCATCAAACCAGAATTTAAAACAATAAACCCAAGGCCATGCTGGGCAGTTTACGCAACAAACAAATATAATAATCAAACCAGAATTTAAAACAATAAACATAGCAATGATAAAATCAAAAAACACACACACCAAACAAATGTAACTGAAAATAATTAAAATGATTCAAATCTGACAATTCAGGACTTCTCAAAATGACCAGAAAGTGCAGTTTTTGAGTCTGGATGCAGGCCAATGTTTGCTGGGCAGTTTACGCAACAAACAAATATAATAATCAAACCAGAATTTAAAACAATAAACATAGCAATGATAAAATCAAAAAACACACACACCAAACAAATGTAACTGAAAATAATTAAAATGATTCAAATCTGACAATTCAGGACTTCTCAAAATGACCAGAAAGTGCAGTTTTTGAGTCTGGATGCAGGCCAATGTTTGATCATTTTTGGATTTGCTACTTTTAAGCATGGCAACTAGAAACGATATAAATAGTTGGAACTTGTATAGAACTAACAAGTTCTGGAGTGGCCTAGAATTATTGCAAAAATGAAGATACTTGCAATGAGATACCCAGATAAGATTACAAACAGCCTGTTACTGATCACGTGGTTCTATTCTGGTATTAACCCTTTATTAGGATAATGTCACCTATGACGAATCACAGACTCTCTCTTTACCTGAGAGGTCTGTAAATCTTTGTAAGACTCCTAGGGGAGGAGTCAGTGATCCAAATGAGGTTCTGACACTCTGCCTTCAATTCATTTATGTCTTTATTTGACTTCTCTACCACCCATTGGGCTACAGGACTACTTGCAGACATATCCATGAAAGCTCACATTCAGCTATAGTACTTAGTATTTAAGATGCTAGATGTTTTTGTCTTTTTTTTTAATCTTGCCTTGTTTTGTTCCCCTGGACCTCGCCTGATATGCTTGCTAACATGGCTAACTCTTCCAAAACCACTGCTTTGCATGTGTTTTCAAAGGTTTGTTGGGTTTTTTTGGACCGGTATTTCCCCATTTTATGGGGTCACAAAGACTTAACGACTGAACAATAACAACAATTTCTTTCATCCCTTTTAGCATCTGTATGCTCACTGCTGTCCTCTACCATGTTGTCTTTTAACGATGTAAACCGCCTTGGGTCCTGTTTAAGGGGGAATGGCGGGGTAAAAATAATTTAAATAAATAACCCACCTGTGCAGTTGTGCCCATCGCCAGCATACCCCGTAAGGCACACGCAGCTGAACGAGCCGCTCCCATGATACACACACTGCGCCCGGTCAGCGGGAGCGCAGGAGTGCGTGCCTTCTTCACACGGATTGGGTGGTGGGGCGAGGCCTGGAAAGGGTCAGAAGAGGAAAAAGGAGGTCAGCTGAGCTCTCACCAGGTTGATGTTCTCCCTCGGAGGACAGCAGAGGAGAGCCTAGGAGTGTCAAAAGTTTGAGAAAAGTCACTTATTGTGGATACTGACTCCTATACTCGCTTAGCCACCGATTGTTCAAAAATATTACTTTTCCAAACTCTGCTGAGGACCATTTTTCAGAGGTGTTCCTCTGAACCAGGAACAGGAAAAGCACAGCCTCTGGACTGTATTGCCCCCCATCCAGGAGCCCAGGCAGGGCCCCAGCCCTCCTAAATACACCCCTATTCTTTATTAAGGTAAAGGTTCCCCTCGACATTTAGTCCAGTCGTGTCCGACTCCAGGGGGCAGTGCTCATCCCTGTTTCCAAGCCGTAGAGCCAGCGTTTGTCCGAAGACAGTTTCCATGGTCACGTGGCCAGCGCGACTAGACACGGAATGCCATGACCTTCCCACCGTGGTGGTACCTATTTATCTACTTGCATTTTTACATGCTTTTGAACGGCTAGGTTGGCAGGAGCTGGGACGAGCGACAGGAGCTCACTCCATCGCGTGGATTCGATCTTACGAGAGCTGGTCTTCCAACTCTGCAGCACAAAGGGGCTTCTGTGGTTTAACCTGCAGCACCACCACGTCCCTTTGATACTGGTTTGTGAACTCGTAAAAGCTGTTTTTCCTATAGGTTTCTCCAGAATCCCTAAAGTCACTTGAACATTCTGTCTACACATGGTAGAGGAACGGTAAGAATATCCTGTTTCTCTGTGGCTAGCTACACATTATTAAAAATCCTTCCGTGCCATGTTTGCCTCAAGCAAACTGGACTTTCTTGATTAAATTATGCATCTACAAAATAGACTCCAATCCACCATTTATCCTGTCACCCGCAAGAACAAATGTGCCATAAGAATTTGGGGGGGAGAAAAAAGAATTTTATGCCCCCTAGGGGGTGTTGGAGGGATTTATGTGAAGGGTATCAAGCCGTGTGGGTGTTTATTCTGCACAGAGATTGTTCCTCGATGCCAACTGCTTTCTTGCGCATTGTTTTGTTTCGAATACGTTTCTAGTCCTCAAGAGCAAACCAACCGACCAAATAACACGCGCATGGGCGCCATGCGAGCCAACCAAACATCTGGACAAGAAGACAGTATCTGATGAAGTCTTATAAACGGAGCAATGAACCAAGACTCTCTTAACAGGCCATCCGACCCTTTCCATCGTTCCTCCCAGAACCCCCTGTTCTTCTTCCCCTCCTGTTGTTGCTGCTGCCAATGGGGAGTTAATTAATAACAGCCTGGAAAACCCCCAAGGCCAAACCTTGATGTAATCCAGAGGAAACCAGTAAATTTCCCACTGCTATCAGCAGAAGTCTGGGAAAAGGGTGGGAGATTGTGATATTTATTGTGTCTGCAAAGGCCGAGATATTCTCAAGCAGTGTTTTTCTCTCCCTCTTTTTCTGATTGTTTTTAAAGCTTCCTATTGAATCAGGGAAAAGTAAGGAATTATTTAAATGGGGAATCGGTTGTGTGTATATATACTGTATATCCAAATGGGGAATAGGCTATGGTTCCAATTATAATTATAATTATAATTATCCAAATGGGGATAATTCCTTATAATTCCCCATTTGGATAATTCCTTATAGATATTGGAACCACAGCTTATTCCTCATTGGATATATATACAGTACGGTATATACACACAGCCTATTCCCCATTTTAATGATTCCTTACTTTTATATATATATGGGAAACTACCAAAAAAAATCTGCTTTCCAAGAATCTCTCAGCTGCTGCTAGCATTAAAAAAAAGAAAAGAGTAAGGTACAATGCCTTACGATATTGGACTGGTTAAGTGGCCTGAAGATAGTCCATGCTAAGGTTTCCTTTGACTCTGCCTAATTAATTAGAAGAAAAAGAATTATGTAAAGTAGGACCGTGCTATCCGTGGGGGATCGGTTCCAACAAACCCCCCGTATGGATGCTGGAAAACATGGAAGATGCAAATTCTATACATCGCATGGCCTCTTGCTCCCTCTAGTGGCCAGTTCTGATAAATACAAGGTATAAATAGGCATTTCTGGGTTGGTTTGTTTTTAAATTTTATTTAGTATTTTCAGCCAGCTGAATCAGTGAATTAGTGGGTACTGACCCTGCACATAGGGGGCAGGTCGGGGCGGGTCCTACTGTATACAAAAAAAATGAAAAATGAGAAGAATGTTGAAGAATAAGGTCAATGATGTGAAATCTATTCATTTTGCGTTCTGTTTGCTAGGCTGACAACAAGCTTGTTGTCGTTTCTGTCAACATAGGGCGGAACTGGCAAGATAGACTCAGAAAGGCATTTTCGAAGGAAAAACAGGGTCCCAATTCGCAGACACGCAAAGGCGCTGAGGCACTCCCAACGCAAAGCAAACCAACCACACATCAGACCACGGCCACAACGAACCATGGGAAAAAAAAAATACTCTAATGCAATTAGGATTTTGGTCAGTACAGCAGAGCCTCCCTATCCGTGTGGGATAGGTTCCAACTCCCTCGCGGATACTTAAAAAGGAGATTATAGATTGTTACACATAACACAGTCTCTGGTTCCCTCTTGTGGCCAGTTTTGGTAATGATATAGTGAAAATATATTCCTCCCATTAATGCTATACACTATAGAGCATGGTCTCTGGCTCCCTCTCTTGGCCAGTTCTGGTAACTTCATATTTAGGAATATATCTTTTTAGGGTTGTTCTTTTAACATTTTTATTTTCAGACTCTATATAAGTCAATCAGAAGATACTGATCTTGCAGGTAAGGGGATCATACTGTATTTCCCAAAGCTAGTCTTTAAGGGCACTCTCTGTTGCAAATGCTAACTATTGACAATTTGAGCAATATTACATAACGTAGCCTCCTTTCTTATCCCCTAGACCAGTGGTTCTTAACCTTTGTTACTTGGATGTTTTTGAACTGCAACTCCCAGAAACCCCAGCCAGCACAGTTGGTGGTGAAGGCTTCTGAGAGTTGCAGTCCAAAACTCCTGAGTAACCCAAGGTTAAGAACCAGTGCCCTAAACTTTCTCTTTCTCTTCCTACTCACACAAGGCACTTGACCGCTCCAACTCCATCTTTAGCAAACTTTCTGCAAGTCTTCCCAGAACCTTAGCCCAGAACCCCATTCCTTCAGCCCTTCAACAAAAGGGACTAGTCTCTTACCGACGCAAGTGACCCGGTCTGCCGCAAGCTGATACCCGCTGGCGCACTCACATCGATAGCTGCCGGGGGTGTTGACACACACCGATTCTGGGCTGCATCGGCCGAGGCCCTCCGAACATTCGTTGACATCTGAAGCAGAGGAAAGCAAGGCAAAACAGGGCAAGTTATAATTTCTGAGAACGAGACAGATTTCAAGAAGGAGCAAATGTTTGGATTGATAGTCCCGGGAATTCCAGTACATGTTACATGAGTGCTGATTCCCACTGATTCTGACTCATTCGATCCAGGATGTTCATCCTTTTCCCAGCTATAAAAACACAACTAGGGCCAAAATGGTTCCAGCTGTTTTCGAGGGAGAAACCATGTTCCAAGGCTTGACCCCTCCGAAATGTGCGGAGAGCGCACAGGTTCAGCTTTGAATCACATGAGCTACAAGGGCAGAAATCCTCCTGTCCCACACCCCACCTGAAATCTCTCCAGCTTTTGACACAAAGCATTCTTTTAAGTAACTTCAGCAAGGATCAAACCAGGCTATGATGAGGGGCTGCTTCCTCCCACCTCCCTTTAACCATCGGCTGCAGCCCTGTGAGGTCCCAGAACGCTCACAAATATTCCAACTATGGAAGGAGCAAGTGCAGTGTTTACACTGATCATCCAGAAAAAACGAATATTTCAGCCACCAGCACAGATGTTCCAGAGAGTAAATGAGGGTCATTTTGGTTCAGGGGGAAAAAAACAACTAAAAAGGCCCCCACAGGAAAGGCGGCGCATCTGTACCGGGACATGCCATGCACAAATCTTCACAGAGAGTCTTGCCTGCTTTCAAATCTAATGTAACACTCGTATCAGTCACCATGCTCATTGGACTTACAAATGCCTCCCTATTTCATGAGCGAACAAAGGCCCAAGACGTCCATGGATAAAATAGCACACAGATTATGTGCACCTTCCTTTACGTTCATGCAGACCCCACATACAGAAATGCAAAGGCATAAATCACACTGAGCTCCTACCATAGGAGAAACATGCAAGCACCTGTAAGCTTTACTTCTTTTGTGATCCTGTGCTGTCAAGTCAATTCTGACTAATGGTTTCCAGGTACAGAATATAGTGGTGCCCCGCATAATGAGTGATTCATTTAACGACGAATCCGCATAGCGATGTTTTTTTTTGCATTGTGATGTTTCTAATGGCCAAAAATCGCTTTGCGATGATTGGTAAACGTTTCGCTTAACAATTTTCACATCGCGATGTTTTTTTAACAGCTGATCGGTGGTTCCAATATGGCCGCCGGGTAAAGAAAATGGCCGCCCGCACTGTTTTCGCGCCCTTTCCTTGCTTACCAGGCAGCGAAAATGGCGGCTGCATGGAGGATTTCCTCATAACAGTGAGATTTTTTTGCCCATAGGAACGCATTAAACGTGTTTTAATACATTCCTAAGGGCTTTTTTGCACCGCATAGCGACGAATCCACATAGCGACAATTTTTGCGGAACGGATTATCGTCGCCATGCGGGGCACCACTGTACCGTATTTTTCCAGGTATAAGACTATACTTTTGTCTAGAAGTTTAGACTAAAAATTGAGGGTCATGTTATACACGGAAGTAAGCTGAGGAGAGTACAAAAACAAGTGGGGGGGAAGCAGGGATCAAATTGTTCCTGTAGCAAAAGGAAAGCAGGCATCAAAGCGCTGCAGGATCGCTTTGATCCCTGCTTTCCCCTCTGCTTGCTAAGTCCCCTGGGGCTTGATAAAAGGAGGGGGAAAGAATCAAAGCAATCCCTTGGCTGTATAAGGGGAAAAGTGGTCAAAATGTTTGTGCAGTTGTGGGATTGCTTTGATCCCTTTCCCCCTCCTTTTGCTAAGCCCTGCGGGGCTTAGCACGAAGGGATAAAGCAGGGATCAAAGCAATCCTGCAGCACTTTGATCCCTTTCCGCACACACTTGCTAAGCCCCACTTAGATTTCTTAATTTTGGGTTAGAAAGTGGGGGGGGGTCTTATACATGGGGGCATCTTATACATGGAAAAATACGGTATTCAGAAGGGTTTTACCCTTCCCTTTCTCTAGGGGCACTGTGGGACTGTACAGCTTGCCCGAGGCTACCCAGGCTGGCTCTTCTCTCGGGAGATGCACCACCGGAGAATCGAACTCCCGGCCTCTGGTTTTGCAGCCAGGGACCTAAACTACAGAGCTGTTCAGCCAGCTGGAAGCCTGACTAATCCACATAAATTCCTACCAGCCCATTTCCCCACATGTACTTGTATTAGTCATCTGAGAGACCACGACAACCTAAAAGGAGAACACATTGTTCCTCTCGTGTACTGAATCATCCTTTCGTGATCACCTGGAAGCCATTCCTAGCTCGCCATAGGCAATCAGGAAAACAATTACTTGCAAGCTTAACCTGAGGTGTGCAGCTTCAGACCACCGTTTGTAGAGAAAGCAGAGAGGATGAGTTCTCCATAATCATCTGTTTTCCCGTGCTTGTTTGAGACCAAGCGCTATCCTTAAGAGGGGTGGTCAGCTCCCTGGTAGGGTACATGCTTCTGAATTTCCCAGTTTCCATCCCTGACACCCCCAGATAAGTTTGAATAGATCAGAGATTTAGGCATCTGGTTGAGGAGCCAGAGGTTGTGAGTTCAAATCCCCACGGGGCCTCTTTGGCAGGGGCTGTGCTTGATGATCCATAGCTTCCCTTCCAGCTCTGCCGTTCTACGGTGACGACGACGAAGGATTCTCAACTAAAGCACCAGCGAGACCCAAAGGGAGGGTCATCGCAAGATGATCCATCACACTCACCAGATTTAGGCATCTGGTTGAGGAGGCAGAGGTTGTGAGTTCAAATCCCCACGGGGCCTCTTTGGCAGGGGCTGTGCTTGATGATCCATAGCTTCCCTTCCAGCTCTGCCGTTCTACGGTGACGACGACGAAGGATTCTCAACTAAAGCACCAGCGAGACCCAAAGGGAGGGTCATCGCAAGATGATCCATCACACTCAATCTCAGAGTCAGCTCCCTTTTTTGACTTACCCACACATTCTTTGCCATCACCCCAGTAGCCAGCGGTGCATTCACAGGTATAATCCAGCCCGGAGCCTGGCTGGCACCGTGCCGTTGTGTCGCAGGCATGCGTGCCGTCGTAGCACGGGTTCAGTGTGACGGACCCAGAATCATCTAGGCAAGCGAAAAAACCAAAAGGGGGTCAGAAGAGGATCCCAGCCCTCCCCTTGCAATTTTCTGAAATTCCAGCTGAATCTGGTTTGGGGGGGAAGAAAAACACAGGTATGTAATACTAATGGTGCAAGCGGTCCGCCTCTTTGATAGGTGTCTGGCGCAAAGCTGGTCACCCATTGGGTCGGGAAATCAGTCCCGCAACTGCTCGTAGGCCGGTTGCATGACGGAAACGCAACCAAAACAGAGCAGCGGCTTGATTAAGACTCTGCAGGTGTATTTGATCAACAGAATTCTGTCTAGAATGTTTTAACTCCTAAGGGAGAAAAGAAGGATCTTGTTAAGATTACCGCTAATGCACAACACCGAGGTGGCCTTCAGCCAGCCTTCTGCAATACTGGTATCTCCCGGAGGTGATGAGCCACAACTCCCATCGTCCCCATCAATGCCTGACATTAGACCCAGTACTGTAAATGTTATGGGACGTGGTGGCGCTGCATGTTAAACCGCAGAAGCCTCTGTGCTGCAAGGTCAGAAGACCAGCCGTCGTAAGACCAAAGCCATGTGACGGAGTGAGCTCCCGTCGCTTCCCCCAGCTCCTGCCAACCTAGCCGTTCGAAAGCATGTAAAAATGAGAGTAGATAAATAGGTACCACCTCGGTGGGAAGGTCATGGTGTTCCATGTCTAGTCGCGCTGGCCACGTGTCTACAGACAAACACTGGCTCTACGGCTTGGAGGCAGGGATGAGCACCGCCCCCTAGAGTCGGACACAACTGGACTAAATGTCAAGGGGAACCTTTACCTTACTGTACATGTTGGGGGGGGGAGGATTGAATTACATTTTGCTTGTGTCCCACCCCACTGCTGCTAAGCTGACGGATCATGTCCCGTAAAATCGCTGGGCTCCCCCGCAGAGCCAGATCTCATCTCCTTGGTCTTTTGCTGCTTGTCCCTGCACCATCCATGATGAACTGCTTGGAAACTGCTGAACTGTAAGATCTGGAACTCATTTAATCGCTTAAAGAGGAGGGGTGTGTGGAGAGAATAAAGAGCTCAGGGCAACTTGGGTTGTCAGGGAAACCAGGATCAGACCACCCTGACTTTTTAGGTGAGTCTTCCTGGCTCTCATCCCTGCGCACATGGAAATCACTTTATGGTGTTCACAGGGAAGAAGAGGGAGTCCCATTAAACCACCCGGATCACTCCGAGCAGAGAGCGATTTGGACGGGTTATCTCCCAGAAACCCAAGAAATGTGGATGGGGGAGGGCAAACCCGCAATTAAATGCTGGAATCCTTGTTTTTCCCATCCAAAGATCACTCGCGCAACAAGCTTTCCAACACTAAAATGAAACCGTGGGTTTAGGGATGGAGCAAAAGCACCCATCCATTCTTTCAAAGAAAAAGCTCTGGTTTCGGAAAGTCTCTGGCTTTTTATTTCTGAGGCAGTGGAAGACCGGAGGGCCTGGCGTGCCCTGGTCCATGGGGTCACAAAGAGTCGGACATGACTTAATGACTAAACAACAACAACTTTGCAGCCTAAAGCTCAATGTGGCCCAAACCAAGAAAACAACATTCAACAGAAATTAATATGAAGTCTAGCACGTACATCCAAATGTTCAAAGGGGAAAATATCAGTTCAAGGTTCTTTCAGGGATCGTCTGAAAAAAAAAGAGGAACTTTCGCAAGCTCTGAAGCTAGCACCCTCCCAAAGATTTCTATGATGGGCCACCTTAGGGCACCTCCACCCAGCATGGTGCGGTTGGCCCTTCGCTCTCCACAGTCCTCTGGCACGGTGGTTAAAGTGCAGCACTGCGGCTCATACTCTGCTCGCAACCTGAGTTTGATCCCAAAGGGGTTCGGGTGGCCGGCTCAAGGAAGACCATCTCGTTGGGCCAGAACTCACCTCCCAAGGGTCCGATCTGGTTGGTGACGGCAAAGCGAAGCACCCGCTCTTCTTCATTATACAAAGCAAAGATCCTGTCCACCGTCAGCTGCTGAGCAGCCGGGACCAGCCGCCGGCGTCGGGCGTGCGGGCACTCTTCGAAAGTTATGTTCTGGCGCAGCCGGTAGGAGAAGGTTTGGTTGACGATTCCAAAGTTCACCGAATATTCCCGGTACGATGTGGACATCACAACTGCGGAAGAGAACAAAACGAACATCAGAGGGCCACGTTGCCCTTTCCTGTTTTACATAATGAGGAGTTCTTACACTGTCTTCTTGGAAAGGGTTCAGATCTTGACTCATCTTGGCGACAAGCCTTGCTTTTTATCCAGCATTTGATTAGACGTCGTCGGAAGTTTCCTGTTGCAAGATGTGGGGTATGAATCTCCTTTGATCTGAATTCTTGCCTTGAGCGAGGGGGGGTGTTCTTTGAGGCCCCTTCCAACACCATGATTCTGGGATTCTAAGATTCTGTGACATATGGGGTGTGAAATTCAGGGTTATGCGCACAGCTAATAAATTACTTGCAAAGCATGGTGAAAGCCATCGGCAACAAGCAGCTTCCAACGGGCCAGCAATCAAAGGCCATACACAGAGAAATCAATTCAAAGAATCTCAAGCACATACCAGAATCTGTGTAGTGGTAGATCTCCTTGTAAGGTGCAACGAGGACAGTAAAATTCTCAGGAATATAAGGCACCCGTCCTTCGATTTCTGTCCTAATGCTGAGGTAATTTTCAGAATCCAGCCCATCAGCCGTTTGCTTGACGAAAACTGTTTCCTCCCCAGGATAGAAAGTGACTTCAAAAGTGTGAGTGAATTTAGCACCTATTTGGGAGAGAAAAAGAGAAACAGAAAACCCCATGCTTGTCAAACAACAGCATTTAAAGGTAGGCCCGGCTCCTGGTATTTTGAGAGGCAAAGATTATTTTCCCCCAGATTCCGTGTTGAGGAGTGAATAAAACCCAGCCTATTTTGATGGATTGATTTAAACTGTTTATACCTTCCCCCTTCTTCATATGACCCCAGCCCATCTAACAATTTACATATATATATTAAAAAATACCAAAACCCCAAATTACAAATGTACTGAGTGATAAACCTACAACGACCCATTGCAGATAGCTAAAATCAAGTTACAGGTGCCCACTGTAACTCGATTTTAAGGGAAAATTAGCCACAGTTAATAAAATTTCAAGGGAAATTAGCAACAGTCAATAAAATTTCAAGGGAAATTTCAAGGGAATTTAGCCACAGTCAATAAAAAGACACAAAGCATTCTCTCCCACCCACCACCCACTAACAAGCTTATACCAATAAGATGTTTCCAAACAAACTTGTCCGGGACACGAAAACCTCTGATAGTGCAGAATTCCAGAACGGCGGTGCCAACACCGAGAAGGCCCTGCTCTGCGTGGAAATTTCTCAGGGCTGCAGTCGTCCCGGGCACCAGAAGCCGTTCCCCGCTGGGTGATTTTAAATCATAGGCGAGTCGAGAATGGAGCAAGGAGTTCTTTAAGTCACTCGATCCTGACTCGTTTAAGGGCTTTATATGTCACTCGACCACCTGTGAGAACATAGGATTCCCGCCGTCCCACCTGAGGCCAGAAGGTAGAAGTCAGGGCCACCCCGGATACGGAGCATCCCTTCATCCCTGTCCGTCTCCTCGTTGGTCAGCTCCTCGTTCACGAACGACTAAAACCTATCCTGAAAAAACAGCACCACTCCATCCACAACGCAGGCGGATGGACTGAGCGGGTCGTACCCGGAACCGCAAGCCACAAACGTGGCACGTTCGCACGGAAAGCATTGAACCCCTTTGGCCCGGGGCGGCGCTCAAAACCCACCTGTCAGGCTGAAGCCGTTCTCATAGCCGGGTTTCTCCAGGGCGAAGAGCCAGCCAAAGAGGCCCCCGATGGGGGTCAACGGCATCAGTGCCCGGGCGGCCGGCTGAGGGATGTGGCTGATGGCCACGTACGCCCGGCCGTCGTTGCCGACGATGTAGGCGTGGAGGTCGACGTCGCTGAAGTGGACCGGCGTCTGTCCCACCAGCAGGTTCCCGCTCACTTTGCCGTTAAGGCGGTGCGCTGCTCCTGAGAGGGCGAGATCAACCCTTTTAACCGGAGGCGAGCCCCGTCAAGGGACCCCGTAGCCCTAGCACCGGTTGTCTGTCTGTTTCCGGGCACAATTCGAATACTAGCCTATAAAGCTCTCAACGGCTTGGCTCCAAGCTCTCTCAAGGATCGTATCTCCCTTGATGAGCCTGCCTGGGTGTTAAGATCATCAGGGGAAACTTTTATCTCAGTCCCACCACCACCTCAGATTTCCTTGGTGGGGACACAGGAGAGGGCCTTCTCTGTGTCTGCTCCCGGACGGTGGAACTCCCTCCCACTGGAGGCCAGGCTGAGCCCCCTCTTTGCCATCCTTCCGCAAGCAGGCCAAGATCTTTCTCTTTAGGCAAGCTTTCCCCAAGCAACCGACTGCCTGAGTGGGATTTTTAAATGGATCCTTGTGCCTTACTGCTTTGAATGTGTTTTTTGGTGTCGCTTTTGTTAACTGTTTTTTCGTGGGGTATCTGTTCGATCCTTTTTAGTATTTATATACTTACTATTTTTATACTGTCCTTTTTCCTAAATGTAAAGCACCTTGGATCCTTTTTCAGGAGGAAGGCGGGGTGAAAATATTTTTAAATAAATAAATAAATAACATACAAGCGTTGTTGGCATTTTGCAAAAGATTGAGGTTTGCAAGAGGACAAAAGTAGTAGATATATAGCAAACGACTTAAAAATTACCACTAAAGGTAAAAGGTCCACTCAGCTTGTCTACGTTGATGAGGATTCTCGTGAATATCACACGGAAGAGGGTCACATCATCTCCGGAATTATCCTACTTCTTAAAACGAGCTCTCAGCCTGCTGCTGAACATCACCTTTGCAGACAAGGGGCAAAATCCTGTTGCACGAATTTACACTAGTGCAACCCGCATCTAGAAAGATTGAGTTTAAACTCAAGAAAAGCTTCCTATCCCCTCTCTTCAGATTCTGTACTTCAATTAAATAATTAGAGCACCTGATCCAGGCTACACTAGCGTAAACGTAATCCAGCACGATTTTCCCCAAACGAAACCGATGTGGCTGTAAGGATATGAGAATGTTTACACCTGCCTTTCTGCATAGATTGGGCCAAGCCATCCCTACCCAAAGGACAGGAAAATTCCTAGTAGTATGAAATCTGCACTCACTGGAAAAGACCGTCATGCTGGGAAAAACTGAAAGCAGCAGGAAAAGAGGGAAGATCAAACATGTGATGGACTGAGCAATAAAGGGGGTCAGTGAGTGACAGAGAGGGGAGGAGGAGGTAGGTTCCTCTCTCCCCCATGAATGAACCGGAAAAACAAACCACGAACTGGGCATTTGAGGTTTTTGTGGTTTGTGGGTAGCTGCGAACTACAAACCATCACAAACTGCCAGTTTTCCAGTCCGTGCTCATCTCTAGTCATCAATTCTTACTTTGGGAGTGAGTGAACGGCATGTATCAGCAAGACCTGCCAAGGCCCCCACGAAACGGCAAACTGGGGGAGCGGGACCACAAACCGGGCTGATTCGTGGTTCGGTTCGTGCAACCCATTTTGCCGAAATGAAACAAAGGGCTGAACTTTTTTCCACTGGCAAAAAAAAAAAGAAATGGCCAAACAGCCACAAGGAAACAAAACTAGAAAGAGATCTGTTTTCCCCTCTAGTTTTGATTCAGGGGTTTCTTTCTGACATGGGGGGTGGACATGGTCTGTATCTACTGTTTAAAGCAAAAACCCTCAACCCTATTTCATTCCCCCCCCCTTTCTTTTTTAAACGGTGCTGGGAGACATCAGGAAGGCCTGGGAGCTAGAAAGATGATCTGGAGAGGCTGCGAATAACACACAAGCAAACTTTCCCCCACCCTTTCTCTCCCCGTCCTTTCCCCTACCCATACAGACACTCTTCCCATCATGTTAAGGAGAGCTCAGCCCAGTTCCTCTTCTGGCCTTCAGGTTGGGGGATTCTGGGCATTGTAGTCTCCCAAACAGAAAAAAAATTTCCTAAATTCAGACGCTGATGCCGCCACTCCCCCGGTCGCTGGTGCGAGCAGAGGGACCCTTAAGAAAATTCTTACGTCCTGCCGTATGGCGTACCTTCCGGCAAGCAGTGCCGGCCGTTCCCGTAGAACTTGGACTGGCAGTGACAGCAGAAGCCGGCGCTGTAGTCTGTACAGAAGGCGTGAGGGGAGCATTGGCCGTGGTGCTCCTCGCAGGTTTCCACGTTGGCGACACTGTACGTGAACACTGAAGGGAAAGCACACATGGTTAGGATCAGAAAATATAAGGCACCCGAGCTAATTTTCTGAAACCCATTGCAATCAATTGTGTGGGAGATTCCCAGATATAAAGAGTCTCTTATTATTTTATACGTCTGTGATTTTATCATGATTTTATTTGACCATATCTGTATTTTAAAAAATTGTGACAGCTTTTAGCTAATACAATAAACTTGAACAATGAACTATATAGGGCACCCTCTGATTCGTGAGTTCCACTGACAGCCATCCTTTTTTTCCAAGGCACACGTGGTCCTCAGCCCCACTTTTCTCCTCCTAACAAGACAGCTTGGTAGCTTAGGTCAGCCGTTTCAATGGGGGCCATACGGCTGGAAACACTTCTTCACACACACACACACACTTATAAGGTTCATTGTCCTGATTTGGCCTCTATTTCTTTCATATCATGTTTAGAAATGGGCACGAACCGGTTCGTCCCAGTTCGTCAATGCTGGCGCACAGCATTGCTCCGCCTCCTTTGTCTCCCTCCGGCCCTCGCCAGGCCCAGCTGGCTTGTTTTTCCCACCTCCTCAACGACTCTCCCAGTCCAGAGCAAGAGCACAGGCTTCTCTGCCCCGCCCTCTCGGCTGATCTGCCACTCAGACAAAAAGGGCGGGGCCGACAAGTCTGAGCTCTTGCCCATGACTGGGAGATCAGCCCAGGAGGTGGGGAAAGCCACCAAGCTGGGCCTGGTGAGTGGCTGGATCAGCTGAGGAGGCGGGAGAAGAGCAGCAGCATGAAGGAAGGGTTTCCGCTTGCTGGTGTCATGTTCAAGCCAGGACGACTCAGCCTACGTGTGCAGTACTAGTTCCAGGAAGGAGAAAACATAGCTGCAAGGGTTACTAACTGGAGCAGGGTTTTAGGGCACATGTGGGAGGAACCCTTAGCCCACCACCTCTTGACCAAAGAGTCCCACCGACGCCACTCAGCATCTCCAATGGAAAGGAACCAGGAGGTGGTGACACTCCAAAATTTCCTCCGCAGATGCTGAAAAACGCGGAAGGACAGAACACGACACATTGCAGGGTCTCCTGCTCTCTCTAGTGGCTAGTTCTGGTAAATGCACCTCATTTTTTTAGTATGTTCATGTGTGAATCAGCGTATACGGATTCCGTGGATAAGGGGGTCCTACGGGACTTGGAAGTTATGTTTGCTTGTTACCACTGCTCACATACCACAACTTCAAGACTTACGGTGCTCACACCACCCCTTCCAGGGCAGACTGTGGAACTAAGAGGATCCTGGTTGAACCATCTCTGTAATCTGCAACAACTGGTGCAATATTTCAGATCCACAACAGCCCTAGCACAAACTCTGGTCTTGCACAGGCCGCCTAGAGTGGTCCTGACCCGATCAGATAGGCGGGATATAAATAAAATAAATAAATACATTTCTACAATTTCCCAAAATGTGCCATGGCCTGTGCTATGGCTGCTTACTTTAGCATAAGTTTCCAACAGGATCCTGACCCTAGCTAGTTGAGAGGCCACTTTCCCCTCTACGAGATCGTGCTAACCATGATTGGAAATCCACCTCCAGATCCCACAAGTATCACCTAATGTTGGGGAGATAACAAAGCTTCACAGTCCTGAATGGCTTTACATCAGAGATGGGCACGATTTTTTTTTTTAAAAAAGATGATTCGTTTTGATTTGTAATTCATCATATTGACAAACCATGAATTACGAATTCATGATTTTTTTTTGATGAATCGATTCATCAATTCATTTTTAGTTTAAAGCCCTATAAAATGGCTCTCCAAGCATGTAGAGACAACAAAAGGCCAGAGAAACTTCTACTGACTCTCCTCTACAATCCCCACAAGTTTGGTGAAGATTTGGGTTTCAGATGCCCAAGTTATACACTCACCAAAATTAGGTCAACCCAGGAAAGTGCCCTTGAATAGCTGGCTTGGGGGAATTCGTTTGATAGCCAAACAAATCTGCAAATCCAAAATTGCTGAAAATTCATTGACTCATGATTCGGCAGCGACACTGATTCGTATGAATACAAACTGACGAATCTGTGATTTTTGTATAAATTTGGGGATTCGTTTTTTAATTTGTGCTGATCTCTACTTCACATCTGAAACTCCTTCCTCCAGGCAGGCAGCCCGGAGCCGACCCTGTGGGTTCTTCAGCATCAGGCAAAACATCTCTTAAAAAACAGACATTCCAGGAATTCCAGCATATTTTACAGCTCATTTTAGTGTTTTTATTGGATCTGCAGACTCTGGATGAGCTTTCTAAACAGCGATTCCTGTGACTTTTGCAGTTTTTTAAAGTTTTAGCCTCCCCCCTCCATGACACCTCGAGGCACCATACAGATTATAAAGGCTTCAGAGTAAAGGTTTCTCCCTTTTCTGCTTCCCCCTTTCTTCCTTTTCTAAAACATTGCCTGACGGATGGACCTGTGCTCTCAGTGACTTGTACATTTTCTTGGTGCCTTTTCAATTGGCCTAATAAAGCTGTCACCCCACTATGGATTCGGTGCTTTGCTTTGCACTCATACTGCCTTTGTGAATCTTTGCACACCGTTTTATACATTGGTGGTTCATATGGGACACAGTGAAACACACTTACCCTCCACCCAATTTTGAGCCCCCTGCTTCTCATTGCAAAAGCCACTGGGGCAACAGGAGAAAAAACATGTGAAATCACTTCAAAACAAGTCACACGAGACACAGGCATTGTTTACAAGCCGGACTGAGCTTCCAGAATTCTACTGGACACTTGGGTTTGTCTTAAAAACAATGTGGGTCCTTCTCTTGCACCTTCTTTTAAAGGGGGGTTGGGAGGAACCTTTGCGGTGACCCCCACTCCACCCACCCCCATTTGCCTATCTGGTTTACAGTATGCTAGCCCTCCTCCCTGTATCCATAGGGCATCATTCTCCCCCCCCCCCCCGGGAATGTTAAAAATTGCAGATTAGAGCGAACACTATTTTAATAGCAAACGCTATACATAGCATGGTCTCTGCCTCCCTCTAGTGGCCAGTTCAGGTAATGTCATCTTTAGAAATTCATATTTCTAGGAATTTTCTTTTAATGTTTTTTATATTTTCAGACCATAGATAAGTGAATCAGTGGATACTGATCCCGTGGATAAGAGCTCCTACTGTAATTTGATTTGGTCCTAATTATCCAAACAGGCACTTGTATTTCTCTCACAAGATATGTAATCATTCTCGATTTTTAAAATCCATTTTTTCTCCAGTCTCTACTGTTTGTATCCTTTGAGAATGTTCAGACGGTTAGGGCAGGAAGGACAGCTGAGTTTTATGGAAAAACCCGTCTCACTTTGTTACGTCTTTTCCCCTGTGTGCATTTTTTTATGGGATGAAAGATGATCACTCCGGCTGAAGCTATTGCACATTAGAGCGAACACTATTTTAATAGCAAACGCTAGGTACATCACACGGTCTCTTGCTCCCTCTAGTGGCCAGTTCTGGTCATAACCTTGTAAATATATACATATACTGTATAGGATTTTTTTCTTTTAATCTTTTTAATTATTTCAGATGGTGGAGAAGTAAATCAGCGGATACTGATCCCGCGGATAGGGAGGTCCTACTGTAAACTCTGCTCTGGTCATTGTGAACTGAAGGGTGGCTTAACAATTGTGGAAATAAACACAGGAATCAAACAGGGGAATAAAAAGTAAATCGGTTAGTTGTAGGGGGCGCAGAAGGAAATGCTGATGGTGATGAGGCTGAAACATGCAGGTCTCCCAACATTATGGAGTCAAGTTCTAATTAGGGCTGCAATGCCACCCCAGGGGGAAAAAAAACTATGGGACACCCTCATCTCTACCAAAATTGATGCTTGCTAACTCCCCCCCCCACTCCATCCAGTGACTATACTCCCCATCGCCACCTACTGGTGGCACACAACATCCATTTTCTTGAGACTCAGACGGGTGCCAAAAGCAGAGGGATTACTGAACCCTAACCCTAACCCTTTGTGGGTCACAAATGCAGGGAGTTCGATGCATACAATCTGGCGGCTCACAAGTTGTCCCGGAAACAACACCCGGCATGTGTTTTCGCTGGCATTGGCCACAGAGAGCGAACCTTAAACCGGAGCGCAAGTGTCCCCCACCTCTCGGTTGATGGACCCTAACAAAGCACCTTGGGTGTTGCTGTTCCAGTTCTACAGCTTGCTTCTCTCTCTACGTGTCCATCTCGAGGATGGGAGGAATACGGCGGTTTAATGTAAAAAGCACTACAAACAGGGTGTGCCACAGGTTCTAGAATTCTCTGGGGGATTCTGGGAGCTGTCGTTCCAAAACCCAAACCTGTGCACCTCTAGTTTGCACGAACAAAAAATTTCTCATCCCCAATTGCTTAGTAAGTTAAACTAAAATAGGCCCATTGAATCCCTGGGGGACAAATCAAATCCTCTGCAAGTCCCGTCGACAGTCACACAGAAACTCCCTTTGCCATAGGAAGATGCAATTAAAGTAGACCATTATATCAATGGACCTTATGGAGGTGTTGACTCTTGAAATCTCCACTGATACGACTTACTACACTCAGCAACAGGATTCTGGCCATTGTCTGGTTTTGTCATTCCCACCCTAAACGTGGGAAGGGAAAGGCTGAGGAACAGGGGAGGTGCAGGTGTAAATGGCCCTTCATGGGCAAGGATACATGAAACTCCGTTTTGCTTCCCCTGATACAGTGGTGCCCCGCATAGCGAACGCCCCATTTAACGACGAATCCGCATAGCTATGCTGATTTGGCGATCGCAAAAGTGATCGCACTGCGATGTTCTAAATGGGCAAACATTGCATTGCGATGATCGGTAAGCGTTTTTTGGGGGGGGGGAACGGATTAACGTCACTATGCGGGGCACTTTTGGGGGGGGGCAGATTAACGTCACTATGCGGGGCACCACTGTATTACCCTGTGGATTTTCTCTCTAGCAAATGATCAGAGCTAAAGAGGCCCCCAAACACTATCACGGGGGTTAGGTCTGCAGGGAGACAGATCTCTCCTCCGCCATGAGGCTAACAAGGGAGCATCCCATAAAGTAGGGATCAGATCTTTCTTTGTCTCGCCCCTGCAAGCAAAGAAAAGAAATGGCAATTATTTTTCTCTTCATCCTCCACAAGGGCAAGATATTTCTCTCTTGCTGTTGACTTGCTGATTCTGCACGAACTGCACCAAACTGTAAGAGCTGCTGCTTTGTACCAAAGATCAAAATTCTGCTCTGGAATGCATTCATTCATTCATTCATTCATTCATTCATTCATTCATTCATTCATTCATTCATTCATTCATTCATTCATTCCTATCCTGCCTTTCTCCTCAAAAGAACCCAAGGCAGCTTACGTCATTAAAACAATATTTAAAAGCTAAAAACAGTAAGTATACAAACATTTTTAAAAAATAATTAAACAAGTATTCTATTATATATTATAGCCACTAAGATCAATATTAAAACATATTTAAAAGAACAGAGC